TCAATTGATTGCCTGACACCTCAAGATTACAAATAAAATAATATTATTTTCAAATGAAAATAAAATTCAATTAATTTTGGTTACAAACACCAAAAATTAAAATGTAAAAAAATAATATTTCAAATATATAAATATATGAAATTTATGCCATATTACTTTGCATCTTCTACTTATTACCATCCTTTTTGGTTTTTTTTTTCCTCCTGGTCAATGGGCTTTTCCAACTCTTTAATTCCATATAACCTTCCAATTACATAGACTATTTAATATTCAGATAGATAAGAATAGATCATTCAAACTCATTACATTAAATAATTACTTTAATTACTAAACACCATAATTTTAGGGTATTATCTTAAACATATTAAAAAGAGTTTTCAAATAACAAATTTAAATACATACGAACTATTCCATCTTTTTTGGTTTTTTTTTCCGCGTTGTCAATGGGCTTTTCCAACTCTCTAATTCCATGTAACCTTCCAATTACATCTAAAAAAAGGTAAATCATTTAATATTGAGATAGAAAAGAATAGATCATTCAAACTTGTTACATTAAATAATTACTTTAATTACTAAACACCATAATTTTAGGGTATTATCTTAAACATATTAAAAAGAGTTTTCAAATAACAAATTTAAAAAATTTAAATACATACAAACTAAGTAATTGTCAACCGTTGCCTCCCTATCTATAATATATAGAATATTAACAAAATTGAAGCCAAAATGATGGATAAAACCTATCTTAGGATGCAATTTCATAGTAGTAGAGAACATGAACTTAATCTTGTAAGGGTAATCTATTATTCGATACGATTCGGAGTATTAAGAGATCCTAAATTTTAAAATTTTATATATTTTAAATGGATACAATCTATCTAAAAAACATCTTACAAAAGGCTTTCAAATGACTGCGGAGATCCGATCACCCTATGGCAATATTGTCCCATAGATAAAATAAGTATTATATACTGGATATAATTGATGGGATTCAAATTGTGAAAAAGAAAAAGAAAACACAAACATTTACTCTAGCATCTTTGAAGAACGATTCAATGTTGTTGGATTTTTCATATATATATTTCTACTTGGCAATTTTCGAACATGAATCACCCTAATCTCAATGTGCTAATTCTTTTTATTGTGTTGATGGTGCAAATGGCATTAATCTTAAAATGTAGAAGCCATTGATAATATAGATAATTGTCAAGAGGAGAGGATGTGAAGGTTACTTTTAGCCTAACTTGGTAATTTATAATTGATCAAGGCAGAATTAGAAAGAAAAATGAAGGGATGTTTTTTAAAAAAATTAAGATGATAGATATTAAATATTTATTTTTGTGAGTATAGATATTTAATATATTTTACTTTGAAAATCAATCCTCATTGAGGATATGTGCTTTGCATCGGATATTCAAAATTAAATATTGACAGATGTGTGCTTTGCAAGTGATACTCAAAATTTATGCATATTTAAACAAATTAACATATATATTTTATCATATTTATAATTCACTGAAATGATGTGTGTGTACACTCAATCATATAAACCTTAATTTTTGGCATATCTTTAGGGTGGATGAAAACTTTAAATAGATAGATATTAATTTAAATTTAAATATGATTAGACTTGAATTTCAAATAGGTAAAAAATAATTTTTACATACATCTAAAAGTTAATAATTCATCCCTTACATAATTCCAAACTTGAATAATATATTTGTATACATTAAAAAATAATAAATCATTCCATACCTAACCTTAAACCTGGTTTTGAAGCATAAAATAGTAGGAAAGACATCCCCAAGTATAAAATTGTAATAAATTTAAAAAAAAACACGTGATATTCTCTTGTAAACTTTAACCCAACTTGGCTTGTTTAAAAATAATTTAGTCTATTTTTGCATTTACTTTCTCTAGCAACCTATTTTACATAACAAAAACAACCTAGAAGCAGTATGCAGCAAAATGCTGAACTCACGTTTGCAAGTGATTAATCTAAAAGGGTCCTAGAGTTTTGACAAAATGCATTAATTAAACATAAACCTATAAAAGAAAAACATGCAAAATAAAAGTAGGCAATACAGAGCAACAAGGAAGACACAAGGCCCGGCCGACTTCTTAAAACCAACATCAAAACCCTCACTTGAAAAATAGCAACAAGGGCGACTCAAATAGACCCAATAATGATAGAAGTCAAGAAACAAAGATAAGCCCAAGCAGGGAACTAACACCCATGAGGAAACTAGCAAGCAACTGAAAAGGAGTTATTGGACATGGCCCAAGTGTGGATGAACCCTGCCGTTTGATGCATGAACTGCAACTTCCATTTGTCATCCTTCATCCTTATATATGAGATCAATAACATTTAAGTTTGACCTAATCAGGTAATCATATAAGTACTTTATTTATTTTAAATTATAAGATAACTTGAAATAAGATTATGCACATCAATAAAATTCAATAATAACATTGTACAAATTTACCTTTTCAACACAAAATTATAAACTTTTAAGAATACTCTTCAATTAATATAACTTTAAATTTACAACCATTTTAAATTTTTCTTCCCTTTAAAAGTAATATTAAAAAGCATCGTTAATAAAATTTTATTTTTATCAAATTATCTTATATTTTTAAATAATAAAATGTATTTAATATTATTTTATAATTTGAAACGGAGGGCATAACTTATCATCTTTCAATAGTTCAACTGTTTGCATGTATCTATCGAAAGAAATTCTGTCTCCCTGGCTCCAAACTCCAAAGACAGGGGGGCCAACAGAGGTACAGGCAAGAAGCCCAAAAAGGTTTTGTTGATGAAGAACCATGTCCACTTGCTGCCCCAAGGACAACAAACAGCCTTCAGCCGGCTGCAACAGAGAGGAATCAACCCCAAAGTTGCATTTCGAAGTTGCGAAAACAATATTTACAGAACCTACAAAAAAAAAAAAAGCATTAAGCACCGTTAAAAATCATGGATTTTTGGAATTTTTAAAACCTTGATCGGAATTGAACACTGTTAAAGACCACGAAGGCGTCCCTTTCTCTTCGATATATTGGAAAACAATGAAAGGTTGGCTTTAAAAGGACTTGAAGGAAGTGGACGCAAAGCAAAGGAGGATGAGGCAACTAGCCAAATGCGTTCCTACTTCTTACTCACCGCCCCTTGTCTTCTTGCTCCTTTCAACTTGAAGTTGGCTTCTCCATTCCAAATTCTTTTGTCCCATCACTCTTCTTTCGAGGTGAAACTGCTACAAAGAACCACATGATATAATTATTTGGGAGAAAACATCAAGTCATTCAAGGTCTCTGATTCTTCAAGTAATTTCTCATCCCACCTTAACTCACTTGAAGGACCTTGATTCTTTTCCTAAACTACTCCCTCCGGTCAGGCACCTTCTATAGGTAATTTTTTGTTCAAAAGGTAGGATCTCTTGTAATATTTCAACTTTTTTTTAATTTTATCCTTAAATTTAATATAATTGTATTATTATTAAAAGTCACGAGTCAAAAAGGAAGTACAAATTATTTTTTATGATATTAAAAAAATCAACTTTTTTAAAATGCATAAAATTATTAAAAGTGTTTTAATAATAAAGATCGGAAGTAGTATTTGTTTTTGTTATCGTAACAAGAATATTCAAAGAAGATATATATGCACTACTAAAAAAAATGTTTGAAAGAGCAGGAAAAGCATTCGAGGGAATATCAAGACTTTCAATTCAAGTGACATTTGTTTTGACAATTGAGGTGTTAGTATTACTTAAGTTTGATTTCTATTTTTTTTCCTCCCAACGACTTAACCAATGGGACTTTTTTATAAATCTCATAACTTGACTAGCTAATGCAATATTTTTGTAAATTTTATATTGTTAGGAAGTGAGCAAATAATAAGCAAAAGTAAATAAGATAAAACAATTGAAAACAATAAAGAAGTTAGAGAAAGTGATAAAAGATGACACAATAAATTTAATGTGAAAAATCCCTCAATTTGAGAGATAAAAAACTCTCAGACAACGAGCGAGTGATTTCACTATAAAAATGAGAAATTATAATAATTGTCTCTGCTACGGGAGATGAAAAGACAAGATATATATAGAGTTTGTAATCAATTAAAAATATTATTTTGAATAATAATAAATATCTTTTAAAATATCAAATAGTAATATGATAGATTTATATTAAGATAATATAAAAAAATAATCACAAAGAATTGTAGAGATTTAAAACATAATTTCAACATATATGATATATTAATTCCTAAACTTTTGTTTATTTTACCGATAAAAATATGAAAAAGGAAACACACTCTGATGAGACGTACCAAATGGGTCTTACGTGGAAATGGAGTTACGTACTCAAACTTGTTTTTGAATACAAAACAAATGCACACGCAAAGAGGAGTGAAAGAGAGAAACTGGAAGAGAGGTTCTGTATCTTCGTAGAGCACACTTAAATCAGATTACATACTTAGCATTTTAACCCACTACACTGCCTCTTCTCTGAATGTGAATGAACAGTTGTAAAGTTGTTCTCTCCCATTTTCAAACAAAAAGGAGAAAACTGCATATAATTTCTCATATTATTTTATATTCTGATAAAGCCCTCATTCTATAAAGGGGTTTATGTTTGGGCCTGAGATATACAACCCGACATTACAAATAGAAATTTAATACCCAAGTCATTCTATGCTTCCATGATTCGAGACATAGTAATAGAATGGTAACTGTATAAGCAATAGCAATTTATACTTTATGCTAACTCTGGACAAATAATTTATCACACACACAATTAAAATATATTTCGTAACAAAATATATACTGTAAGTTATGTTATTTATAAAAATTATGCCCAATCAATATCGATATTTAAAAAATTTATAATATTCTAAAATTACTCTAATATTCAAATCTTGTAATATCAAATATCACATTTTAGTTCCCACTCTGGCCACGAGCTTCATCTATTTAAAAAGGGTCACTGGGAGGGACCCATATTGCGCAAGCTTCGGTTTTGACTCAATTCATTTCTCAAGTGATGCCAATTTGCGCCAAAACCCCATTTTCTTCTGTCATCTTGTTAATTGCCTTCTTACTCCGAAGTCATTTTGTTTACAGTGTCTGTGGAGAATCTGTTCCATTCTTCCTTTTGGTTTTGATTCCTTCTTTGTTCTTCTCTTCTCTTTAGTACTCATTTCCCTGTAACCTTATCAGTTCTCAACTCTGGGAAGCCATGGTGGCTGATAGCAAGTCCAAATCAAATATCTCCTTCGCTGGAACCTTCGCCAGCAGTGCTTTTGCCGCATGTTTTGCCGAGGTAGTTCAATTCTTTATGGCCTTTGCTCTTTCTTGTATAACTGCTACCTGGACGCCCTTGTTTGGGGAACCTCGTGATGATCGCCTGCAAAATCCATCATTTCTTTTATTTATTTATTTCTTGTAGCATTTCTGTGAATGATAATAGTATGGATCTAAATGCTAATGCCATCCCGTTCCTGTTCGTTTGGTAAATTTCTTGGTTTCTCTGTGCTTCAGCTTTTGCGTGTTATTTCTTCCAGCACTGTCTCATTTGAAATTCATAAACATTCTCAGCTATCAAATTCATAATTCAGCTAAATATCGTGAGGTCCAACCATCTTCAGTACTACAACAGATTCAGATCGTCCAAAGTTATAAGCTCTTCTGCAGTGAGAGAGAGACGGAAAGGGTGGGGGGATAGATTGGGTGAAATACACGACGTGAGTCTCACAAGTATTACCGTCTCTTCCGCTTCAAAGACACTGATCTTGGAAGATTCAAATTAGAAACGCTACAATTTAAACTTGTACTCAACTCGCTGTGGCTGTTTGTTTTTCAAGTCTAAACGGAATAGTTATTGCCTATTGCATAGTGTAACAAAGATCTATGTAGCAATTTCCTTGATGAAATATGTGGCAACTATCCTGAGTGCTTTTCTGTGAAATTGACATGTGCTCTTCTGAGTGTTCAGTGCACTAGTCATCATATAGCTCTTATTTGTATTTCTGTTCTTTATTCAGAATCCAGCTGCTCAAATTTATCAAGCTATTTTATTTAAATTTAAAATAGGCATGCACTATCCCTTTAGACACTGCCAAAGTTAGGCTCCAGCTTCAAAAACAAGTTGCAGCTGGTGATGCGGTGATCTTACCTAAATATAAGGGCTTGCTTGGGACAGTTGCGACTATTGCAAGGGAAGAAGGTGCTTCAGCACTCTGGAAGGGCATTGTGCCGGGACTGCATCGTCAATGTTTGTTTGGAGGGTTAAGAATTGGGTTATATGAACCTGTGAGTTCTGAAGTTTTTGGTGCTACAACTTTATGGATTTTTTTAATTCATATTTGTTTATGCCATCTGATTTTCAACATGGGATTTTTAAATTTTAAAGGTTAAGAATTTCTATGTGGGAAGTGACTTTGTTGGAGATGTTCCATTATCAAAGAAAATTCTTGCTGCCCTTACAACTGGTAAGACCAATTCTAGGTTCCATGGGAATATAAATTAATTTGTTTGCTTATCTTTGAATTGTTGGCATTCTCTTGGCAAGAATTTGTATGCCCATCAATTTTTTTTTTGGGTGAAAAATTCTCAAGTAATCTTAGAGTGTCATCTTCAATTAAAAAAAAAAAAAAATTCTACATCAAACAAAATGCGCTATTTGTGTAATAATTTGAGTGGATAATGGAGTGAGCTTCGTACAGTATTGTTTGACTTGTCATTATTTTAGTTGTAAATGAGTCTCATATTGTTTGATTTGAACTCTTTTTATTGAAGAGAATGCAAATGGTGTGGCACTTGAGAACATTTAAGAATTTTTCTTCTGTTGGCAGGAATTATGCTATCTTATTGTGCTAATACCCTAATTGAGATCCCTTTGCATTTGCATTTGCCACATGAACAGGTGCTTTGGGAATTACCATAGCTAATCCAACTGATCTTGTGAAAGTTCGACTTCAGGCTGAAGGAAAATTACCTCCCGGTGTACCAAGGCGCTACTCTGGATCATTAAATGCTTACTCTACAATTGTGAGACAGGTGAGTGGATTTAATCTGATATTATTGACCGATCCTTTTTAGTTCATAAACCTATATCTACACACAGGAAGGACTTGGGGCTCTTTGGACTGGGATTGGCCCCAATATAGCAAGAAATGCTATCATCAATGCAGCTGAACTAGCCAGCTACGATCAAGTGAAGCAGGTGATGTAAAAGATACTGAACTCTTGTTTTTGGAGTTAAACCCTGTTTTATGTTTAATCCCTTTCTTATGAGACTTAAATTGGACTGCAGACCATTTTGAAAATCCCAGGTTTTACCGACAATGTTGTAACCCATCTCCTTGCTGGTCTTGGGGCAGGGTTTTTCGCTGTCTGTATTGGCTCTCCAGTTGATGTGGTAGTCTATCATCTTCAACCCATGAAAATTTATAGCTGATTTGGTTATCTCTTTTTTAATTATAACGGCTTTTAGAGCTTAAGAAGTATTTCTTGTTTATGGCTGGTATTTCTGAGGTTCATTTTGGAATTTGGATGCAATGAGAAACGCAGTCTATATATTTTGAGTTTCAATTGCATATTAAATAAAAATTTTATAATTTCACAATGTTATAAAGTTGAAAATCGCTGCAAATTATTATTATTATTTTTAAAAAAGCTAGACATTACCTTAGGGAACCTTTTCGATAGATAGCAAGCCTACAAGATAAAAGAACAGTGGTTACGATTAAGCACGAGTTGCAAATAGACGGATGAAATGGACTCTAACCACGTCTTACGGAATCTAAATCCCCATTTTGTGGACACATAATAAAGTCTCTCTTTTTCTTTCTCTCTTTAGTTGATAAAAAAATCAATAGCCTTTTGTTTGTGCACTCCTAACAGCCCATTAATTCATGTTCTTTCTGGTGCATATGCAGGTTAAGTCCAGAATGATGGGAGACTCTACTTACAAAAGCACTGTCGATTGTTTCGTGAAAACTTTGAAGAACGATGTATGACTTACCTTCTACAAATACTATGTTCCTTTTTTTTTTCTTTTGTTTTTTTTTAAACATCGCAGTTGTAACCACTTTGGTTTGTCTGAGCATTTTCCATTCTTGTGCCTGATTTTCTACCTTGCTTCTGTGATAAACACCATCTATATGTCAATCCACAATACCGTGCCTGACAGCAGTTGGCCATATGTAGAAGCTTAGTATTTCATTTCTTAAGGGCCTACCATGTTATTTTGCATTTGGGTATCCTCTATCAGATCTGATAGGTCATGGAATCTATTGTGTTGCAGGGACCTTTTGCCTTTTATAAGGGGTTCATCCCAAATTTTGGACGGCTGGGGTCCTGGAATGTGATCATGTTTCTAACCTTAGAACAGGTAGGTCAAATACTTTGTCTATTTTAAAGAGAAAAATACATACGATATGATGTTTGATACTTGTCCTGTAAATTTCACTCGTTGTTATTATTTATAACATATGTAATGCAACTTTGGCATTGATTTGATTAGCCAGGCCGTGTGAAGGATTTTTTGTACCTAAGGAAAAATTGTTTAAAAAGCCTAAAATATTATCATTCATTTATTTTCATATTATTTTTTCAATTTATCAAAACCAGATTCAAATTTTGTATTTAACATTTTTGTCACTTCGAATCAACACCAATAAAAAGTAATTAAAACAATCACAATTTTAAATAAAAAGTAAAAAGAAGAATAAATACACATAACATGGCTGATATTTAAGATCATAACTGGTATTTTTTTTCTTTTTAAGCAAGACTCTCATTTTCAAATAAAAATATATAATTAATATTACTACTTAATGAAAAAAAAAATAATGACTGATCATATAAAAATATAGGTAAATATTTTCAGAGACCTAAGGAAACCGCCTCATTAGCCTAACATTTCACACGGACTTGTCAGATCAACTTGTCAAGCAATCTGTGTTTTTGTCATATATCATTGTATCTATCTGTTTAGCATTATATTCTATGATCTTGCATGCTGATTTATACTCCCCTCTCAATATCTCGACAGGCTAAAAAGGTCGTCAGAAATATAGAGTCATCCTGAGTTAATTATGCAAATACCGGTATACGACGATTGGTGCAATACAAACTGTTGAGAAAATAATGTATCCTCTTGCCTTCATTTTCTTAAATAGGGGATATCGTAGAACATTTTTCAGGAAAAAAGAACGGAAGTATTCATGAGCTATTTAAAATTTGACGTGCTCCAGCTCTGAATAATTTCTGATTGCTATAAAGCTCCAAGTTAGAGATCCTGCTTGTTGAAGCTATGCTTCATCTTTCCCCGCGTTTCCGAGAGGCTGGAAGCTGCGTTTTGGTGATTTAAACTTTAAATTTAAAGGCTGAGATAGAATATTTTTTGTTTAAAAGTAGTAATTTAATATACCAGCAACTTCTATCGGCGGGATAGAATTAGAATTAAATTCTTCGTCCAGAGTCTGTTTCTTATTGGTGCCATATATATATATATGTATGTATGTATGTTGAAACAATTATTTTTGTTAGACTTAACAATATACGAATATAAGAATGAATGTTACTTTGCATAAAGGAAAGATGGACTGTTAGCGGCGCTTTTAATCTATGAAGAATAACATTTAAAAAGTAAAAGAAAATTGCAATTACAATCATTAATAAAAAAAAATCGTATAAACTCTCCCTTTACATGAAAAAAATAAAATTCATGGAAATTAAATTAAAAGCTGAAATAAGTTATTTGAATAAAATAATTAATTTTCTTAGATTTGTATACTTTTTATAGTTTGGTCATTATATTTTCAGTTGGCATGGCAAATGCTTGGTATATAAACAAATGTACTATTTTGTCTTAAAAAACAAATCTACCATTTTTTTTGGCGAATAAACACAAATGAATTATTTAGCAATTATATTACATGATCTAGTTTTCCTTAATAGTTTATATACATATTATAATATTATTATTACGATAATCAAAATAGAACAATTACGTAATTTTTAATGAAGATGTGATAAATAACATATACTAAAAAAGAATACATTTTGCGTGAATATTAAATTTAAAAATAATTTAAAAATATTTATTTATTTTATTTCAATTAAAAAGTAACAAATTATGGACTACCGGACTTCGTCTTGCCCATTCGCACTTCAGGCAGAGAGACCTTTACCCCGTTGTGAACGAAAACTGAGACATCAAGCTCGTGAATGAAGCAGCTGCGCCGGTTCCTGTGCTACTAGTTCGTTGCTTCAACTCTTAATCTTAAATCTGTAATTTGGAAAAAAAAAAAATTATCTCTCCCCTCGTATGCTAGGGTTTTGGGGCAGTCAGTGGAACTTCATCGACTTGTGTTCTAGTTCTTATCATCCAAAATTTTAGAATTATTACAGTTAACGCGTGTTCTAGTCCATCTTCGGTTTTATTCTGTTTGTGTGCTCAAATGCATCTGGATTATGTTTTCTGATACTCTTCATACCTGACGTTGACATTTTATTGCCTTGCGTTATTGATTCGCTCTCTGTTTTATTTGAATCTCCCGATTCTTACATTTGCACACCATAACTACTCGTTCTCTGTTGATTTTTTGCGTTTAAAGAGAAACTCTTGGGGTGGGAGATGAGGACCGTCTGTAGGTCTAGTCAGGTGCCAATTGAGCCAAGGCTTTGGGCTTATAAATCATCATTTTGTTTGTAATATTAGTGAGTAAGCTTGGTGTTTTGGCGAATTGTTTCTTCTAGGGCTACAGGATTTTCATAATTTTAAAATTCTGATTTAAAAATTTAAAATTGAGCTTTAGAGTTCCTTGGTTACAATGTATTATTGACTTGAGATGGAACGGTTTTGAAAAATTTTCATCTATGATGGTAGATGATACATTTATGAACATTTAGCCTGGGTAAGCTAAGAAAGTGAGAGGGTGGTTTTGATTCTTTTGATATTTGAGACATGAGGCTATAGATGATTCAATATAAACTCTTAGGAAACTGAAATTGAGCTGGAGTTGATTTTTGAGCGTCTTGTTTTTTGTTTTAAATTAGTGCTCCTACGATATTATTTTAGAAAGGTCTGATATGTTGAATTTTAGAGGATATTTAGCTTTCCTTCTCTGGCCAAAGCTAGCTAACCCTATGAATTTGCTAGCCTCTTTATGAGATCTATGTACATCATTGTTCCTTAGTGGCTTAGACCCAAGGTACGTAAAACCGGACCGGTCATTAAACCGGTCATGGCACTGGGTCACGGGTTAGTGGTTCAATCAGGGTTGAACCGGGGGTTGAACCGGTGGCAAACCGGTCATGATTAAAATAATACAATTTAAATAAAAAGACATTAATTATAAAAACATTCAACCAAATCCAACCACTCAAAAGTCTAACAATAATAAAATACTATATTTTTGGACTTAGCATGCTCTATCTCTAATTTTTTATTTTTTGACTTTAATTTTACTTTTTTTTGTTATTTTTTTCCGAACTCAGAGCTGTGAAAAATTAAAAATGAAAAAAAAAATCAAAAACGACGTCGTTTTGGGGTAAAAGTCTGAAAAAATATTAACCCGGTTAACCCAGTCAACCCACCGGGTTATCCGGGTTATACCGGGTTGAACCCGGGTTGACCGGGTTACACCGGTTCACTCCCTCACCGGGTTAAGTGCAAACCCAGACCGGACAGGGGACCGGTTCACCGGTTTCCGGGTTGACCCGGCCGGTCCGGTCCGGTTTTCAATACCATGCTTAGACCTCCCCTGCTAGTTGTAACTTCATTGTGCTATCAGCGTGATGATCTGGTTGGGATTGTAGTTAAGAAAGTTCTGAATGATTTGCATGTTTCTTTCTGCATTGGTGTGTCTGATTGTTTGGCCGAGGAGTCTCTTGACTTGAGCCACTCTGGCTATGTCGACCCTTCTGTCTGGGCCTTGTTTAAGGCTTACTCGCAGTTTCACATTTCCTTCTTTTAGTAGAGGATGGGTTGCGTGTGGGGGAGAGATTCATGGTTTCTATATCCTGGTTTAGTTCAACTTTGGGAAAATAATGATCAAGGTGGAATTTATAATTGATATTTGGAACCTAATTTTGTAACCTTTTATCCTTTTAGGTGATTATGATGTGTTGTATTTGTAATTGTATATGGTTTTTCTTGACAGTTTCTTGATGTGCATCAAATGGGTTTTGCATCTCGTGTGTTTATGATTTTCTGATTGGGATATGAGGAAATTGTATTTAAAAATGTTTAAAACATAGATTTGGTCCTCAATAGTTTAATCCTTGAATAGTGATCTAGTTATTATCATTGCTTTTAATATTGATTAATGATTACTGCCTGAGTATAGATGTTCACTGATTTTCTTCTGATTTATTTGCAGGAGGGAGCATCTGTTGTCGTGGTTTACTGAATTGCTGATTATTTTCTTTACAAGAGTTTGAGTTCAGGGAAATAGTTGGTCCAACATGCTTCAGATTCGGCTTAGTAAGGTTCCAGCCTCTGAAGGTTTAGCAGGGGTGAAGTCCTCACCTGTTGAGACTGTTACTGTTACATGTCCCGATCATCTAGTCCTTGCTGATCTTCCTGTGGCAAAGGGCATCGGTTCAGCAGCTGCTACTTCACTGGTGAAGACTCTTGGCCGTAGATCTCGTCGTCAATGTGGCGACTGTGTCCATTTCTGTGTTCGTTGTGATTTCCCAATTGCAATCTATGGACGGCTGGTAACTATTGAAATATTTTGTCCTCTTTCAATGTCTTTTTAGACTCATTTTATTCATAATATAGCATGTTGTTTGGTATGATTTCACTTCAGCTTCCGTGGAAGCTTAATCAACACGGTGGCTTTAGAGGATATCTTATTTGCTCAAACCTGAGTCATCTCTGAAGACAAAGTAAATTTAAAAAAAAAAAAAATCAAACTATAGTAAGCATTAGGCTATCTGAATGGTTGCTTCAGCTGGCTTCATTCCTATTATTAATAATATGCAACCAGCTGACTAAGTTATGCAACAGGAATGGACAAGTGTTTAAAATGTAGTGAAGTCAGATGTGCTATAGGGATGCATGTAATTATTGCATTCCCTGAATAATTCATTCTTACTTGTGTCAAATTTCTCCTGATAATTAAATTAAAAATATTGGAAAAAGCATGAGAAATGGACCAGTCATTTTAGTGACTATGTCTTATATGCATGGGATGCTCAATAGGTATTTAAGTAGGTTAGTTCTCCCATCTCAACAGCTAATACTTTTGTATCCATAAAGATCTCTTTCATTAGTAATTTGAATGAAGAACTTGTATAAAACACTTGAATTCTGTGTTTTGAGTGGTAGCTCAATTCTCTTTCATGTGCTTATTTTGTTGTTATCCTACCACTGAAATTTTCTTGTAAAAGCATCAACTGTATTCTTTTCTGTACTTTCCTGGGAGTATACTTTGCTGAAGTATACAAGCTCAGTATCTTTCAAACATTATATTCCTATTCCAAGCCTTGGGATTTTTTCTCTCGAGTTTCTAAACTAATTCTTTGACGATCACTACTTATGAAATTTTGTTGAAATGGCATGAATTGATATGACCTGTTTTACTTGAATCATTTTGCTACTTTTAGTCTTAGATTATTGATTCTTGTTGCAAGCTACTAATCTGGTTCTATTTATAAATCACTTCCAACATATTTCACTAGTATCAAGTAAAATCTTAAAACTCATTAACTCTCTTAAAATTTAATAAGTTTTCAACTTTGCCTCTATTAAATATATACACTTTAATGGCATATTTTCTCTCTCTAACGTTCAATGGAGGGTAAAAAAAAAATTATGATGAAAATTTAATGACGTGACTTATAAATAGGATCAAAAAAATTCTTCTCTCCCTACCCTATAGATAGGACCAGAGGGAGTATATCAATGTTATGATTTACGGCTTCCATGTGCTTTTCCTTTAGCTGCATTTGATGGAGTTGAATAACTTGATGTGGGTTTTCTATAAACTAACAGGCTTATGGTCTTGCAGAGCCCTTGTGAGCATGCCTTCTGTCTTGATTGTGCTAGAAGTGATTCAATGTGCTATCTGTAAGGATATTTCTCTTCTGTTTTTCATAGAGCAAAGCAGTGAATATCTGCCAATTCAGTCCTTTTGGTCTCGTTTTGACCCCTTCTTTAGATTAATTATTGGATTTTGCTTTGGTGTGTTATTTATGGTAAGTAATTAATCTAGGAGGTCCAAGGTCTTAGTTTCAAACCCCAACTGATTTCTTTTCAAGCTTGAAAGAGTTTGATTTCAAGTATTTGACACATTATGCAACCTTGAAGCTGTACTCAGCCTGTCTTAATTCAGGCAGTGAGATTCAGCACATCATTTTGGTTCACTGTTACTTGTCTTCTTTGTTGTTACTTTTATTATTATGCAACCTTGAAGTTGGCTTCTATGTTGATTCTGTAGATAGAAGTTGACAGTATGAAATTGGGTAATTACTTTTCATCTTCCTTGGAACACAGGTGTGATGAACGAATCCAGAAAATTCAGACAATCAAAATGTTGGAAGGAATATTCATCTGTGCAGCTCCTCACTGTTTCAAGTCTTTCTTGAAGAAGTCAGAATTTGAAATGCATATCCAAGATGTACATGCTGACCTTCTCCACCCCAATGTAGATAAAGAAGATGGAAATGAGTCAGAGACTCATGGTGTTCGGCAACCTGCAATGTCAGAATCTTCTGCTCGAGCTCCCCAAAGGCCTGTTTTCTCTCCAGGTTCAAATTCCCAGCTAAATGATCGAGAAGACAAAGCTCGTCAACAACCACCAAGAGACCAACCACCTTCTAGGCCGACTTTGCAGCCAAAGCCACCCTCTTTTGGTCAAGTTCAAAGTCACTCCGCAGATCTCCAGTCTGGCTCTAATGGAGGTATTCCTCAGAGCTTCTATCAACAAAGTTCTGACATGCAGCGACCTCTACAAGAACCTTCCCAGTTTGCAGACCGGCACCGAGGTGTCACACCAGAGACACCACTTCCTGATTATCCATCCATGCATCCTTCCCAGCCACCCAATTTCGCTGTGCCAGTTAATGCTAACGCAATGTTGAATCCGCCTGTGCCATTTGGTTATCATCCCTTCCCACCACATGATGGAGCTCCGCCATTTTATGTAAACCCCTATGATATGCGTAGGCAGGACTCAGCTTCTGAAGTAGGTGGAGACCAGAGTTCCTTACTTGGTTTTCCACCGGGTTCTGCAACCGGCTCTAATTTTCCAGCAAATTATCCCCAGCCCTTGAGTGCAGGAACTGGTGGCCTACCTTTTGAACAAGGACATGGTGGCATGGCTATGGATCCAAGGGACGCTAAAGGTATATTGGCACCACAGTCCATGCCCCTCCCACCTCCACCTCCACTGCCGCCCATGTCCCATCTGAACCAGAAATATTATTCCGGTGAGTTTGGACACAATGGACATGGTTATGGTTGGCAGCATGATACTCGAGAAGCCTTTGGTGGTCAGGACTAGCGGGCTCCGAGTCACAGAGTCTGCTCTCGTGCTTATTAGATAAATTTGGTTTTATAAAACGTAAGCGCTTTGTTGTTACTGACATTATCTAGCACCTATTAGGTTGCATTGATAATGAATTTTGTATTCTAAGACCCAAAAAAATATATGTGCCGAATTCGTTGTCATCAAATTTTATTGTTGTTAAATCTATAAAATTAATTTTTATTTTGTTTTCTATTGTATGCATAGTCTTGACTTATCTGTTGGATGATCTTCTGCATGACTCTTAAGTTAAACATTAATATTTGGGTCTCGTTTGTTTGTGGATTCCTAGTTGAATTTTGAGATATCTCCAACACAAGTATGTACAAATATTTCACCAGTTCTTGTGTGATTTTTCACTCCCTCAAGCCAATCCGGTAAATCTGAGCATAACTATGTACAAGACACTTGATTTTCTATTTTTTTCACAAGAAAAGCCCTTGGATTCCTCTTTTGATAGGGTAGCCTACGCTACTTAGAAATAGAGTTTCTTTTGGATTCAGGAAAACAAGATGAACAATAGAGGTAAGATTTCATGTTCACCAGTCTCAGACCTTAGTAACTGCAATGAGTGCACGAAGCGTTAGTGATGGAAAGGCTGGTTCTCACAATTAACCATTTTTTTCGTGACAGAAAAACACTTGACATTAACAAAATCATAAAATTCGCTTCTCAAAGGATCTAAATTCTAAACAACACAATCGCTCACATTACCATAATAAATTTACGACTTCACTCCTATACTAGTATCCCAAAAAATCATCGAAGTGAAAGTTGGCAGGGGGAGATGCCTCATGCCATCTATTTGCCAAGCAAAAAAGATGATGCAACATTTTGACTGCCATCAACTCTACAAACAGTTTCATGGAGATAATTAAGGTTCAGGTGTGAATGACGCAAATATATTACAAGAAAAAAGCTATACTTGCAAACAGCACATTCCCTGAAGTGTTTGTAGATAGTCCCAAACTCTCTCGCACCAGTATCTTTTCTCAGGTTAAACTTAAACCTATTAGATCCACATCAAAGATGGAGAACGCAAAAATCACTTCTTTACAAATAGGTTCTGGGAAGTCATCACCATGCTCCACACTCCAATTAAACTCTCACCGATGATTCTCCAAGAAACATTTAGGAAAAGAATGGAAATAAGTTACCAAAACGGTAAGAAAAATCAGCTCAGCTTTTTCTTCTCCAAAATCCAGTTTTGCACTTTGCTGATATATTCTTCATTTATTTTCGCATACAATTGGAATGATTTCCGATAGCCCATCAAGATATATCTGTCAATGAAATCTTCATACCTTTCATAAAGTGCTGGCACAGTGAGAGTAATAAAAAGGCCTGCCACATAACAAAAGCAAAAGATTTTAATAGTCTCATCAGATTGATTTGGTGAACCTATCTTCAATAAACAGACTAGGCTACACTCCAGAATTGTTCTAAAACCTTCCAGTAAAACTTTATTAGTTGATGGAAAATACCTAAACCCTGCACCTAAGCATTTTTCAATTTTCTGCTTTGGAACTTCATTTCTAACAACTGGTACTGACTAAATTGAGTCTAGCTTATCAGATGACACTCAGAGACTTACTAGCGTAAGTCAGGGTGAGAAAATCAGTGAGGCCTCCAACTGCAGAAATCAACCACAGGCACATGGCTACTTTCAAGAACAATCTTGAGTCCTTGCCCAGGGCAATATCCTGGGAAACTGAAAGCACATAATTTGCATTAGTTCGGATGAAAGTTGCAACTTCATTGACCATTTCCTCTGATAGATGCAACTGTGGTAGAGGTGGAGCTGGTCTGTCGAAAAAAAAAAAACAGAGAGAGAAGTAAACTGCTTTCATAAATTTGGTGATACACTGAAAAATATGAAGTTTTAATGTCTCATTTGCTATGAGAGAGAGAAAGGATAGGAGAGGAAGAGGAAAAGATTATACAGTGTTCATTATACTCTTTATCATTGCTCAACATTGCTAATCCTTTTCCATTACTTATATTAAATAAATAACCTGCTTTCATAAATTTGGTGATGCACTGAGAATATTAAGATTTCACGTCTCATTTGGCATGAGACAGAGAGAAAGAATAGGAGAGGAAGGGTAAAAAATAAATAAATTATGCAGTGTTTATTAAAGACTATATTTGATGAACCCAAGAATTGAAAAAAAATTCTTTCTTTTGGCAAGCAGAACTTCACTTTACTTGCACAAATAGAATGGATGTCAAAGAGAATGGAGATGATTTTAGACCCAACCATAGAAAAACACTGTCAAAGAGGAAGTTCCATATTCCACCAAGCTAACTAATCCCTAGGGAACAATGTATCGTGACAGGACAACTATAGTTTTAGGACTTCAGGTTTTCAGACTTAAAACACAAACAAGGCATCTATCCATCTTCACAATACCAGAATGAATTGGACATAAATAATAACGTAAGACCAGAACACTTTACTGAGGACTTTACGTTGCATCTACTACCTTAGATAGTGATAATCATCCTGAAGACAATGCAAAATTTCCCCACTCTATTAAGTCATAAGTTGAAGATTCACCTATCAATACTCAGCAGTACATTTAAAATTCTGGTAATCAAGTCTCTCAGAAGGCTAAAATGTGGCTGTTATAATAGATTGCATTTCATTAATTAAATAAATAAGCAAATCGCAGAACTGCTCTGAACAACTATACCAGATTATAAGGTTACCAAGAATTATAAGCAAATAAATCTAAAAGTACAAAAAGAACAGACGTACATCACCATTCTGCAAAAAGCATTAAGGTTACTAGAAATTCTTCACAATACTGCCATAACTAACAATGTACAATGAAGCAAGTGCATTTACAAATTCTGATTTATATGCTATTCAAACTTAAACTACAAAAATTATGCCAGCCTTGTTTTTTAAAAGGAATAGGTCAAAAGCCGTATAAATCACTCAAAAAAAGCCCAGAATGAGGAATAACGACTTTAGTTCATAAAAAATAAACTAAATGTGATGTACCAGTAGTTTGTAAAGATTTGAAGATTCCAATACCACTATCTTGTTGTGTCTAATAATTGTACACTTCAAAGTTAAAAGAAGGGCACAATGAAAGAAAGATCCAAATATATTCAAAGAAATAAATAGCGAGAGTATTACCTATTGAGAATTGCTGCTGATTTCGCCCAAAGATAAAGAATGACTATAAGGAGGAGGAGAACATTAGAAACAAGCGACAAAAGAGTATAACCAGATCTTTCAAAGACGATCCAAGCAGCCAGTGCAACCAACAATATCCCCACAGTTAGATTCTTTCGCCTCCACAGTATCACATCTGCAACTATATTGATGAATGACGATGATTCAAGAACAGAGGTAAGGTAAGGATTTTTTTTTTTTTTTTTTGGGTGAAGAGGTCAAGGATTTACTCACTAATTCTTTTCATTTGTCGTATCATCTTTTCCTCCAAAAAGTATTGGTTAAATGAATTGATAGTGCGAAATGAACAAGCATAAAACATCATTGAGACAAAGAGGGAAGATTTTGATACTGGATGAAAGAAATTATTGACTGAAAGTTGCGGAAAAAATCAGCAAGAAAGTTGAGAAATTTAAGAAAAACTATGGGATTTGATTGGACTTACCCAGGCCACCTCCGAGGATTTCATGAAGAGCTCTCTGCCTATTGAACAATCGATCAGAATCAGATGAACCCATCTGGGGAAGAAACTGTTGAATCCAGCAAGGGATCTCTCTCACCAAAAAGGAGCCAGCTTTGCGATGATGATCCACAGTGAAATAGGAAAAGCAGTGAAGTGAGGGGGGGCTTTTATAGTTTTATTCAGCTTCCCTTGCTTTCCTTTGTTGCCTGTTGGACTAGCGGTCCCTGAAAACAGTGAATAATAAATTACAAGAATGACAACGGAAAGCTTCAGCTGGTGGTCCCTGCTTCCAGCCTAAAAGCGCCATGCTGCTCCTGCTTTTCATTCTCCCTTAAAAATCGTAGTACAATTACGAAGAGTGGATGAAGAAATTATCTTCTGAACTTATGATTCAATAATATCATAAGCCTAAAGTTTATTTATTATCTTCTGAATTAAATTTTGATCATTAATTGATCAAAAATAAAAAAATAAAAAATTACAAAAAATATCAAAAAATTATAATAACAAATCAAAAAATTACAGACAAGGGCCCCCCAAAAATGTGTCCTTTTTCTATAATTTTTTGAGTCTTTTTTTATCATTTTCTGATCAATTAATAATCAAAACTAACTTTTGTTAACAATAAAATCAAATTATATTGTTTTCAAAAGTTAAAAAAATAATTTACACAATAAATAAGTTTAAAATTTATGATATTATTGAATCTAAAATTGAGGAGATAATTTGTTTATTTATCTGGATAGATTTAATTGTTAGGTCTTGAACTGGTACTTTGCTGAGGGTCTGATTTTTACTAACTTGATGAAAACTATGTATAGCCACATGGGTTGAAATGCTGAATTTTGATTGTTTTCTTATTAAGTATAAATCTGTAGCTGATTAATTTAAGTTTAATATATGTACTTATCAAGACGTTCAAAATATATCATAAGACATTTTATTTTAAATTATAGAAATTAATAAATTGATTTTTCCTAATGGTGATTGGTGATAGAATAGAATAATTAGTTGGCCCAAAAAAAAGGAATATAATAACTAATTAATGAGACAGGTTGAAATGGAACAAATGTTTGATTGTTTTGGGGTTTTATAATAGAAAGGAATAATCAGATTAATAAGTGCGTGTTATTTAAAGAAAATGTTCTTCTAGCTGATCACATTAAGAAAGGAATATGGATGTGGATAAGTGTATTAAATATGACACTGCATAAGGATAAAAATAAAGATATGATCATTTTTAAAATTTTAAGGGCATAAATATAAGAATACATATACTAATATACATGCTATATAATTATTTATTGTTATGTTATGGTGAACAAACTAAATTATTGAAAAGTGAAAAAAAATAACTAATTAATTCTTAGGTCAAATGAAAGAGATTTGATGTTCTTAAGCAAGGTTTAGAAAGCTCAATAAAAAAATATAAAAAGTATCGGTGTAATGTGAATCTGATAGCTAACATGCATTTTGGTCAGATGCACTAAAACTTATTTGCAACCCATTTTCATTTACAATTTTATTTTAGGTAGACTATAATTTTATTAATTATTCGTAGAACTTACCATTATTTTTAAAAACCAGATTAAACTTGCTAACCTATTAACTAGCCACATGTCCAATTGAATTTTCTATTTCAAATTAGATATAATTGGTTTGGATTAACTTGCCAAATCTCACAGGTCAAGCAAGTTGGATGGGTTAATATTTTAAAAAAAGTATGGTTGAAATAATGAAGAAGAAGATCCCAAATGGAAGAAGAAGGAAGAGATGCATGAAGATCTAGCAAGATGAAGAATAAAAATGAGAAAAAGAAAGATAGACCATATTTTGTTGTTGAAATTAAACTCTACGCTCAATTGCCCAGCAAATCTTGACAATGCAATCTTCCCTTCCATAATAAAATGTTTGAGCCAAATCTCTCACTTGATAGTCTAGAGGTAAGAAAATAGGTAGGTCTGACTCTCAAGGGATAAGAGCTTAAGCCCTTGATCCTAGGTTCTCAAAAAGATATCTATTTTTGAAACCCAACCTTCATTTAAATGATTTAGGGTTGAGCCAATAAGCCTATTTTATTTTAAAAATATTAATAAAATAAATAAATATAAATACAAATATAAAATTTTAATCAAATTTTAAAATAAAGATAGAAAATTTCAATTCAAATCAACCTTATCAAATTTAATAAATACAAAAAACTTGCATAGAGTACAACATTAATTAAAATCAAGAAATAAATCTTATAAAGTAATCATATTTAAGAAATTAATAAAAAATTTCTCAATATCATGTTAAAATTAATGGCAAAAGAACTAACATTAATTATTTTTATAACATTAATACTTAAAAAATTATCAATTTTTTGAGAAATAAAGTTTGGAGGGTCACCCAAACTTTTTTTTTTAAGGTTTATTAGGGTCAAGTTTAGAAGCCTAATTTTTCTACAAAAAATACTAATTTTTTAAATTTAAATCTTTATCTAATCAGGGTTTTTAAATTTGATCATTATTTTTGACTCTACCAAATACAAATTTTAAATAGAAGGAGAGAGCATGATAAGAAATAGAAAGGAGGGAGGAAAGAACCGCACAATGAAATGAGGATTAGAAAAGAAGTCAGATGATTATCTCCTTCACACTATCCAACACACTTTTTGTGCCACCACCACGATACTTGTATCCATTGCTTATTGCTCCTGCCTCTTAGGCTTTCTTTATTTTTTTATTAAACTGTTACTCCTAGGTTTAGCCTCTAAAAATTTGTAACGACATTGTTTATTATTTATATGTTCCAACAATATTTTTAAATTCAGATTAAATATTGAATTGAAAAAGCCACTAAATTATAGTTTGCATGATCAAATTAAGTTAGACCAATAAGTAAACTGTGATGTAATAATTAAATAAAAATAATATTAAATATATATAAAATAAATACAAGAAAAATCTAGCATGTTAATGAAATGACATAACATAACTGTAAATTAATAATATTATAAATTATAATTTTATAACTTATCAAATATAGATAGATTATAGTTAAATTAAATATGATTAGACTCAAAAGTATATATATTTGCATATATAATTGTCAACATCTTTATAAAAAATAATTTCAAATCATATTTTATACATATGAATTATTCAAAAATAAAGTTAGTTTTTAGCAAGATCTATAATTTTTGATTTTTTTATTTTTAAAGATTTTTTAAATATTAGGTTTACAACTATCTAATTTTTTAAAAATTGCTCCGATTCTCGATCCAACTCTTATTTTAAGCTTAATAATAGCTCAACTTCTGTCCAATCTAGATCAATCATGAAAATAATTTTTTGGTTCAAACTAAGCCGTTAATGGCTCCAATTGACAGTCTAAATATTCAGTTCAATCTAATTTTTTAATCATTGTGTTTTGAAAAGCTCTTTATTTTCCCTTATATAAATATTAATAGTTATCAAAGTATAATATTTTATATTTTACCAAAAAAATAAAATATTTCATTTTATTTTTTAAAATGAAATTATTATTTGCATGTATCTTTAATATTATATACTAGTTATTATTTTTTATCTGCAAATTTTTGTCCCTTTTATCTTATTATTAGGTAAATTTATTGTTTTTAAAATATTTTTATTTGAATTAATCTATGTTGAAGTTAAAATAAATTAGTTTATTTAATCTCGATTTGGCCTCTAGTTTGACCTTGAGTTCGACCCCAATTAAACACTTAACTCCTAATTTTGATTGAATTAATGATTGATCTAATTTTCTGTACCTTAAAATTTACTGAAAATCTTTACTTATAGCAACTTCTAACTTAAAATAATAATAATAATTAAAAAAAAGATTCCAGCAAACCACATGACCTGTTCAGAGAGCTCACTATAGCAAAGCATGCCTCATGTTGAATTCTCATACCCATTTTTTCTAAAATCAATTTTTTTTAAAATAAAAAAGTAAAATCTATTCTTTTATGCTAGCTTTGATTAAATAAAGTCACTTAACTACGTCCTTCCTCCCTTATTTATAAAATATTTTTAACTAAATTTCACATATGAATAAAAGTTTGTTATTTAGTTAAAATAACAATAATTTTTTAATTTTTCTCCTGATAATATCAATTAATATCATAGTAGTGATATGTTAAGCATACAATTAATATCTCTTCTTTTTTTAAAATAAAAAAAAATTATTTAATTATTCAAAAATATCATAACACCTTTTATATCTAAAAATAAAATAAGCATGTAAAAACGTCTTAAATATTATATATTTAGTGTCGGAGGGAGTATGTAGAAATGGAAATGTATAGCTTCCATGCCAACGTTTTGTTTGCAAGCAGACCAAATGAAGATGAAATAATGACGAAAAGAAATAACTTCATGAATTCGCCTTCCATTAAAAACCAAAGCCTTGAATTTGGGGAGGAAGGAGAAAAAACAAACGCAATGATTTGTCATGGCTGCGCCGGCCAAAACCGACTCACCGAAAGGGCATTAAACGAAAACAGCTGCTGTCTCCTTAAAATATTTTTCCAATTGAGATCTCAGAGATAATAAGACTACAACATTTAGTACATAAAAAGGGATTTAAGGAAAGAAAAAAGGATGGGGAAAAATATTTTTGCTGTGTTTTCCTGTTTTTATTTTCTTCTTCATCACTAAGCTGAGAAGCACTTAGCTACATGCCTTTTAAAACAAGAAAAATTACAAAAAAAAAAAAAGAACTAGCACACACCTTTTTTGGAATGGAAATGTGACATGTACATATTAATATTGTCAAAACTCGGTAACTACTATAATATGATGGAAATGCTTCAAGATTTTCCTTCCAGTTCAAGCAACAAGCACTTAAAATTAAGACCATGGCTTTAACCCAATGATGTGTGTTTCCATCACCTAATTGGTATAAATTATTGTCTTCAATAGTGAAAACAAATTTGAAGAGTAGCACATTCTCAGAGTTTTTCCTGGTTTTCACTTCGAGAAGTATCATTTGGTGCGGAAGCAACTTGGCTATTTTGATCATTTAGTTGAGCACCAGCTACAGTTTCTTCCACTTGTTCATTGCTTTGATTGCTTAGGGGACCAGCAACTTCAGCAGTCGCCGCCACCGCTTGTTTGTCACTCAGATCATTTGAAGGGGTGCTGGATCCGGCGTTCATCACTTGTTGGCTACTTTGATTATCATTTGAAGGAGTACTCGCTTCCGCAGATGTCATGGCTGGCGAAGAATCCATCAGGCTAGCTGCTATTGCAGCCCTCAGATCCTCATCCTCCATGTCTGAAAGCATTTCTGCATCCTCATGTGAAAGAAACTGATCAGAATGTCGTTGACTCTCATTAATTTTCTGGTTTGGAGGTGGAGCCTGCATCGAGTTGCAGGATTTAGTTATTCTCTCAGCATCTTCAGGTGACAACCACTGCCCAAAACCATTAGAAGCTTCTGATGAGGATATGGGGAACTCTTTTGGGAAGTTTCCTCTCACCAGGAATATGCTCCATCCAAAGCCTTTCAATGAATCAAGATAGGCTGAAAGGTAAAACTTAGACAGGTGTTGTGGGGCTGCATAGAGACTATCAAAATTATACCACTCTCCATTCACTTTGCGTATACAAAACCAATGGTCTTGCAAATGACAAATAAAAGCATTTTCCATTTCAGGATCAATCTGGGCAGGCTCAGCAATTGGAGAGTCGAGAGGGATAACTTGCAGGTCCCACACTTCCAAAGCCTTCTGTAAAACCTACAGGAAAGGGCTTGCACAATTAGACAAATCTTAAATTGCATAGAAAGGAGTGATGTAGGCTAGGAAAGGAAAGGATGCAAGTACTAATTTGTGCCGCCAAAGAAGCATTTTTGCTGTAGAATCAATATTTTACCAAGGAGAATATTATTTCCTAATGTTGTAGAAAGCCGCTGCTCTTGATAAGATCATACAAAGATATTGGTTTCACTCCAACAATAAATAGACAAGAGCAAGACAGAAGTCAATAACTACATGAATCCTCTAATATACAATATGAATCACACCACAAAAAGATAGAGGGCGATGGCTAGGTTTGGAAAGCAAAAACTACTGATCAATATCAACAGAAAAAATGTTTATTCTTGGAAATAGACCATAAACCTTCAGAATCCCTCCAATAATCTCTAAAAAGATTAATCTTTAATAAACTTTTTAATTATTCTACTTGGGAAATATGTTTAAAAAATGAAGAAAGTAATGAGTAAGGCAAAAAAAGGGAAGACCAGAAGTGGGGGTAGCGTGGAGAGGGAGTAGGGGAATCAGGTTTAGGTACAATTCTACATACATAAAGTTTAAAATACAAAAAGCATAGTGCATACAGAAGATCAGAGGTTATTTCTTAATAACATGCATCTGCAAGCCCGCAACTAGTCCCAACTCAGTTCATCATATTCTATTATAGTTTCACCGATCATGCTAATATATGACTGGGGCAAACCAGCAAACAGAAAAACCAATAAGAAACTGTCCCAAAGAAACATCATAAAAGACCCTTCTGAATATAAAGCAGGCCGTAGTTTTTATCATAAAAGCTCTCATGGTCATACACCCTTCCCTTCCCAGACATTTTTTTTTTCCGAACCAAAGTTAATACTTAAAGGCATGTAAATATCATCCTCAAGTCAAAGTGACTTGGTACAATAGCCTTAAGTTACCAGCATATAAATTTTAACTAAAATACATTTTATTTATTTTTTTATTAAAAAAATATATAGTGATATACTCGAGCAAAAGAATACAACATCATATTTAATGTAGAACCATGGATTTGAATGAAGACGGAGTGAAATGTACAAGAAATAGCTCCTGAATGAGCTTGTGTTCAGACTTGCAAAAATGCTTTTCTTTAATTCCTTGACAACAAAGTACAGCAATATACCAGAGCTAAAAGGTACAAAAATCAAGTTTTCTTATGAAAAATATACAAGAAATAGCCTCTGAATGAAGCTGTGTTCAATCTTGCACGGAATCAAGCACACATTATTTCTCAATCAATTAGGTCGAAAAGAATACTTTTCCTATAGTGGCATGAGATTAATCATTGATTCATCATTGAGAATATTGGGGCATCTGCTGAAACTTCAGTTGACAGAACAAGGCACGGGCCACGGACACAATCTAAATTTCAATTACGATGAAACAAGAGATAAAGTATTTGACTTATTGAGGTAACAAATAACAAATATATGCAAGCAATAGCAATTCAAGATAAACCATTTCACTGAACCATCCTGCTGTCATTAATTAACTAGCACAAGCAATTACACATGAAAACGTAGTTATGTCAACTCGCGATCCGATCATAATAAGTCTAATGAGATATTGAATCGGTAAACTACAGTTATATACACGGTGAAAGCTCATCCCATGCCAAACAGGCAGCACGAAAAATGATTTCTCAAAAGGATTTGTCTGCAGTAACTGAAATTCTACTACTGCAATCTTATGGTGGAAAGAACTAACGAGAGTTTCGGGAACTTCACAAGAGACATTGCATTCAAATAACGCATATAGAAATGACCACTTTTGCATGCAATTCAAGAATAAATAAATTGAACCCGCAAATGTTTTCTTGAGATTTTAAATTATATCCCGAGTAAGTGAGAAAAGGGGTGAAAAAATTCTGGAAAAAAAAAATCGAACCGACCTGAATACTGAAATCACCAACCAAGGACACATTATGAGACTCCTCGGAAAGGAAGTCGCCGGAGGAGACACCACCTTCAACCATCATCTGACGCTCCTTGTGATCTAGATCGGATGCCAGAGCCGCCAAATCGAATTCAGAGAAGAAAGGTCCCTGGAGCACGGTGTTCACACAATGCACAGCACATAGCTTCGACTCTTGTACCTCGTGGTACAACATTCCTCCATTGCTGGCTCCTTCCATATTCAATTAAACTCTCAAGCTCCGCCTCTCTCGGACGCGGAACGAAATTGACGTCAAAAAAACGAAATGAAACCCTAGAATCTATCACAAATTCGTTCGAGGAAGTAGAGAAAGAGTGAAAAGGAAGAACGCAAAATAATATCGTTTTTTCCTCTCCATCATTATTTTGGTGTTTGTTTATTGCCCTTTTTGGGGACGTTAACGTTATGATATGAGTCAACGCATGCGAGTGCCACGTGTTCCTTTCCTTTCCTTTTCTTTTTTTTGCATCCACTGGAAGTTATATTGCAATTCAGAGGCCCAAATAATTGGGCCAAATGGAGGCCCAAATAATTGGGCCAAATGGAGGCCCAAATACTGATTGACATAATCGACTCGTTTTGCTGGAGTTTCTTTTCTACATTTCTATGGCCTTTGAATTGAGCAGCTGTCCAGTTCTTTTTTTTTTTTTTGGGACCAAAGAGCACTTGTCAAGTCTGCATCATTAAGGATTAAGAAATTTACTTTAATAATTTAATTAATGATTGCGTTGGATTTCACTGTGAAATCAATTACTTAATCTACTAAAAACATCTTTGCAGGCTTCGACGTGGACTGTCCAAGGGGACTAATCAGATGCGTTACTTTCTTTGTAGGTAAACAGTTGGAAATCGATTTGTTTATAAAAAGATAAAAATAAAAAAACGTAATGAAATTGTCAAGACCACAGAGAGAGAGAGAGAGAGAGAGAGAGAGAGAGAGAGAGAGAGAGAGAGAGATTATGAAATTAAAAAAAAATATAACTAAAAAATGTATCTTGTATTTTTAAATAAAAAATAAAAGGTACAACTTATGATAATGTAAATTACTTAAATATTACATTATTTTAATCGAGCTTGCATGAATTTAGACACAGATGATCGCATAAATGTCAATTATGAATTGGTAGTGACAATTGTCTACTTAGCTATTAGATTTTTTTTTTAAATTAGAATCTTGGTGGTGACGTGATTATATTTAATGTGATGAAATTAAATCTTGGTGGTGACATACACCAGGATTTTCGCTAGTATGGGGCTTCACCAGAGCATCCGGCAATCTGTTAATGTGATGGAATTAACCATACACATATACACTACTCCAAAAATAAATTAAATGTTTTTATTTTAGTTAGCATTTATTATTCAATAGTCAATATATATAATGTGCTGCCTCCTGTCATCAAATCAAATAACATTTTAAAATCTTATTTGGTCTTAGTTACTCCCTCTAATCTTTAATTAAAGTAAAACAAATTTTGAAATTTTGTTAATCTTTAATATTATGCAAAATTAGAAGTTAAATATTTTTTTCAATTTTACTATTATGGTTTAAATCTCTACATAACAATTTAATTTAATATAATTATTCATTATAAAGAAAGATAAAATTAAAGAGTAACATATTTTTTAATAATTTCAAATTTTTATAAATGCTAAGTTGGTAAACTTTATTTTATATTAAAAATTAGAAAGATTATAAGATAAAGATGGAGTAGATAATTGTTTTTTTCAATATTATTCACCCTTGATTATACCACGTTATATGTCTTAGAACCATTTTACTGTATTGATTAATTTTAATGATTGACAATTTAGAAAGTCAAATATTATCTTATAATTAAAACCCAGAAATCTAACAAATTTTTTACACCAAATTTGTTCTGCCAAAAAGAAAGAAAGAAAGAAAGAAAATGAAAAAGAGGCACCGTGTGAGCGGGCCAAACACGTACTTCGCTTTGAGGGTTATCGGGGGGGACGAAGAAGGCAATGGCAGAAGCTGGAAACAGCTAGGTTGCGTCTTTCTTTAACTGCCAAACGGAAAAATGAAGGCCCATCGTAACCACAATACATACGCCCGCATAGGAGAAGTTGCTCCTCTCCTTCCTCCACATTCACAGTTCGCATTTGCATTGTAAGTATCGCCACCTAAACTAGCTTACCTACAAATACAACTTCCCCTTCTCTTTCATTGACGATCTCCACAAGGACAGCTCTCTCTCTCCCTCTCTAAATTCTCATCATTCCGTAAGATTCCTCTCTTTCTCTCTGTCGCCGTCCAATCTCCTATCTGATAGGAGATCGTCTCTTCCTCTTCCTTTCCAGGGATCTCCAAATTGTCTATCTTGTTCCGGTAATTTCTCATTTTCTCTTGAAACCCCGCTATTTCTTCTGTCGTAATCTTGAGAAAATGCAGTTCTCTTTTTCCTTTTTTCTAATATTTTCCTCTCTTTGCATCTGGAATCTGCTTTACTCGCTAGTACGAGTAAGTTTCTTTTCTTTATTAAATCTCTTGATAAAAAGATTCTGGAATTTATTCTCGAATGCTTTATTTGTGTTTCGAGAAATGGTGGAAAGAGTGGAAATTGAACTCGTGCACCATTTTGCTTTCAATTTTTGAACATGAAACTCAGCAAAGTTGATGAATTCATTGGAATGATTTTAACTGAGATGGAACACTGACTACTTGTTGTTATCCTTTGCCGTCATTATTTACCTATCGTTTTTGTAGCTTTTTGGGTCTGGGTGGATTTGTCTCCTTTTTGAGCAACATGCTTTTCGCTTTTCACTTCACTTTGGTTTTTCAATTTTTTTTTTCTTTTTTGCTTTTAATTGGACAGTTTGTGAAGAATTTTCCTGAGGGGTCGTAGGTAGTAGGTATCGATCGGTGCGGAGAATGGCTTCTGCATCTCATGGTGCTATTGCATTTGCTGGGACTTCAGCTTCGGATCTTCTCCGAAGTTCAGCAAACGGTGTCTGTGGTGTCCCTTTAAAAACTTTAGGACGTCTGCCCCTTAAACTGAAGAGAAGGGATTTGACAGTTTCTGCGAAGATAAAGAAGGGGAAGAAGCACGAATACCCCTGGCCCGATAACCCGGACCCCGATGTGAAAGGGGGAGTGCTCTCTCATCTTTCTCATTTCAAGCCACCGAAAGAGAAGCAAAAGCCAGTCACTCTGGATTTTGAAAGACCGCTTGTTGAACTGGAAAAGAAGATCAACGATGTAATTTGGAATTTTCTGGTTTCATTTTTTTCCCTTCTATGTGAGATTTAGTTGTAAGAGTGTGTCTCATTGAGATTATGCTATTTTGCTTCGAAACAGGTGCGGAAGATGGCAAAAGATACTGGCCTAGACTTCAGTGACCAGATCATCTTATTAGAGACTAAGTACCGACAGGTTTGAGTGTCGTAAACGTTAATCCTGGATGTTTATAATACTGATGGTTGACCAAGAACCCACAGACTATCTTATTCAATGTGCTTAAAGTACAATATATATATATATATATATATTTATTGATTGTATTACTTTCGAATTACCCCCTGACCCATGTTATATTTCTCTCTTATTATCTTTCTAGGTACTTGCAAGTAGGGCTGTTGTAGCATATAATACATTTATTTTTACTCTAGAAGCTTATATTTCTGTCGAACAATATTTCTAAAAGCTTAATTAATAATAGAGCACATTGCCTTGTATAATCCATGTAACCAATCCCACCTAGTGGCATAAGACTTGTTATTGTTGTTGTTGTTGTATTTTTACTCTAGATGAATACCCTGAACTTAAATATTATTCATTTTGAAACTCCCTCATTGCATGTCCCACAATCCCCTTCTTGGCAAGTTAAGCTGCTTCACACCTATGTCTGTAAAATATTGATTGGACTGTTTAGATTCATATTCTACTTTATTAAGTGGTATTAAATGCTAGAACTGCTGTGGTTTTTCCTTATATTTGAGTGACAATTTTTCAATATTGTAGTTTCCTCTTTATTTTTCTGACAACTGCCTTTGTTATTTCAGGCTTTAAAAGATTTATATGCACGCCTGACACCAATTCAACGGGTCGGCATAGCACGTCATCCTAACAGACCTACTTTCCTTGATCATATGTGGAACATAACTGATAAGGTCCACAACATATCATCATTCTTTGATAGTAATTTTGCATACTCTTTTGAACTTCATTATTTATTGGTTTTCAAACAAACCTGTGTGAGTGGAAGTCTTACATTTCCTAATGTTGCAGTTTGTTGAACTCCATGGTGATCGGGCAGGTTATGATGATCCTGCTATAGTCACTGGTATAGGGACCATAAATGGTAGAAGATACATGTTCATAGGTCACCAAAAGGGTAGAAATACTAAAGAAAATATTCAGCGTAATTTTGGAATGCCGACTCCCCATGGGTATGTTGGGCACTGGAACCTCTATTTTTTATTTCATTATTGAGTATTTAACTTGATTTAATATAGTACTCCATTTAACATAATAAGTTGAGGTATTATCAAATTTCTCTTCATCTGACTCCGATAATGTTATTTTCAATCCATACAGTTACAGGAAGGCTCTTCGCATGATGCATTATGCAGATCACCATGGGTTTCCCATAATTACTTTCATAGATACGCCTGGAGCATATGCTGACCTTAAATCAGAGGAACTAGGCCAAGTATGTAGCTGACTAAGGCTTGCATTATAATTGTGCTTTGGTTCTGTCCAAGCAGTAGGTTAACCTATTTGACTGCTTTTCTTGCATGCAGGGCGAAGCCATTGCTCACAATTTGAGAACCATGTTTGGACTGAAGGTGCCAATTTTGTCTATAGTTATTGGGGAAGGCGGTTCTGGTGGTGCTCTTGCCATTGGCTGTGCTAATAAATTACTCATGCTTGAAAATGCAGTTTTCTATGTAGCCAGGTGATTTGGATTTTTTTACCCACTCTCTATATTACATTATGTTGCAATTCGTCTATCATTCATGTAGTCTTGGAGAGATTATTTTAATAATCTTAAATCTGCTTATTATCTATGGTTGAAGGTAGTAATTAGTAATTGTCTTCATATTTTCATGGGTTTTTTTTTTTTTTTCAAGAACTGATTATTTATGTCCATTTGTCATTTATATGAATGCTTCTCATAGTATAGCAATGTGCTTATGTGCTCATGATTCTGGTAACTTATGTTTGATTTACATGATCAGATTTGTTCAACATGCATTTCAAATGAATATGGTTCTGCATTTGCATAAATTTTCCTTAACTTTTGGAATATTTGTACTTGTAAACAAATCTTTGATCTGACTTGTTCTGCTGTTTTCTGTCCATTTTTGTCATGGTTCAGTCCAGAGGCCTGTGCAGCAATCTTGTGGAAGACTGCAAAAGCTTCTCCTCAGGTTCATAAAACTATATAGCATATGCCCGTATCTTTGCATATTAAGTGTGTGTGACTAGAGACTACCCTTCAGGTTATTGAAATTACACTATCCTCCCTTGAAACCCCAGGGGGTTTAGTTTGTATGAAAAATTTAAAATAAGAGATGTCTGCATACTTTTTAAAGCATTGCATTTTTTGTTGGCATGCGGGTACGTTGTATAATTCACACTATAATAATGTTTAGTTATATTAAATTATATTCTTCTAAATTGCCCTTTGCAGGCTGCTGAGAAATTGAGAATAACGGCCAAAGAGTTGTGCAGATTGCGAGTTGCAGATGGTGTTGTTCCTGTAATAATCCTATCTATCATAATCCTTGTCTTCAACCCCCCCCCTTTCTTTTCTCAAGCAACCTTTTATCAATGTGATGTCCATCAGGAGTATCCTTAGTAATTCCCCCTGCTTTTATTTGCTCTCTCTCTCTCTCTCTCACACACACACACACATTTTGTGTGTTATAAAGCATTCATTCTCTATGGTATCTAAATAGAATTTCTTTTCTATTTTCCTTTTCGTATTTAATAGGAGCCACTAGGTGGTGCGCATGCAGATCCATCTTGGACATCTCAACAGATAAAATTTGCGATCAATGAAGCCATGGATGTAAGGTTTAGGTCAACAAATTTTCTAGCAAAATTAAAAATATTGAAGCGTCTATCAGTTTGAATCTTTGGCTTGTCTGATGTATAGGAGCTTACTAAGATGGAAACAGAAGAGCTACTAAGGCATCGTATGCTCAAGTTCCGAAAAATGGGTGCCGTCCAAGAAGGAATTACTATTGATCCTAAGTGGAAAGTCAACATGAAGAAGAAGGAAGATCCCAATACTAAGAGAATTCCTGATGCTGAATTAGAGGGTGAGGTTGAGAAACTGAAGGAGCAAATTTTGAAAGCCAAAACATCCACCACCAAGCCTCCAGTGTCAGATGTGGAAAAAATGTTACAGCAATTAAAAGATGAGGTTGATCAAGAATACACAGAGGCAGTGAAAGCCATGGGCTTGATGGACAAGTTGGCGAAGCTACGGGAGGAATTTTCAAAAGCAAATTCAGAAGACCAACTTATTCATCCAGTTCTGAAGGATAAGCTTGAAAAGCTAAAGGAGGAGTTCAATCAGGGATTATCAGCAGCTCCCAATTATGAGAGGCTTCAAAATAAGCTTGGCATGTTGAAAAAATTATGTGAAGTAAAATTTTTGACGGATCGAAATAAGAAGGCTGTCACATTGAAGCAAGAATTCACAACTAAATTAGAAGAAATTGTAAACAGCCCCAATACAAAGGAAAAATATGACATGTTGAAGGCTGAAGTTGAAGGTTCTGGTATATCCTCCCCTAGGGATTTGGATAATGACTTAAAAAAGAAAATCATTGAGTTTAAGAAAGAGATTGAGTTGCAACTTGTTGATGCTTTGAAGTCAAAGGGCTTAAAGGTTGAGGTTGTTAAAGGAAAGGCACAGGACAATATTGGGGAGTCCTCACTGTCATTGATAGAGGAACTAAACAAAGACATCTATAAGGGAATTGAAAATGCCCTAAACTCACCAGATCTTAAGAACAAGATCGAGCTATTGAAACTGGAGGTTGCCAATGCAGGAAACAATCCGGACATGACCTTGAAAAATAGAATTGTTACTTTGGAGCAACAAATAAAGCAAAGCCTTGCAGAGACCATGTCTACTTCTAGCTTAAAAGAGAAGTTTGAGAATCTAACATCTGAGACTTCAGGCATGAATGAATTTTCTGGAGAATCAGATGAAGATCCAGCGGGAAACAGTCTCACCCATGATGAGTTGAGAGAGAAGGTTGGTGCAAACCGCACCTATTCTTAATGTGAGTTCATCATATCTGACTACCCAAAGATATTGTTTCACTTGATCTTTAGAATTTTACTAGAATACTAGTGTTTCCTGTTACCTTTTGTAGGGAGATGCGATTTCAATCTCCCTTTGGGTAAATCATAATTTCCCCTATGTGGTTTGGCTCTGTGTTTAAGCGTCTCATTCAACTTTGGGCTTGTTTGGTTTCTGCTTTTAAAAACTGTTTTCTGTTTTAAAAAATGAAAAAAATAAAAATTATTTGATAAGTGTTTTGAATTTAATTGTTTTCAAAACTGTTTTCATTTTTTATTTTTAGGAAACATTTTAAAGTTGTTTGTCATTTTACTTTTTGTTTTCAAAACACACTGCATTTAATTATTGGAAAATATAGGTAGTCTGACCAAATTATATGATAAATCATTACCACTAACCTCCTGCAACCATTACTATCAGCCTATTTTATAATTTTAAAACTATTTTAAAATTAACATAACCCAAAAGATTCTCATTTTGTTGTGTTTTGAAAAACAATTCTTAAAATTGTATTGTAAAATAATTTTTAAAAACAAAAAATGAAAACTGAAACCATACAGACCCTTTGTGATTTTTTTGTTATCGCTTAACCACTAGTGGCATTTTTTGTCTACCTCCTCAGAATTCAATCATAATTATTTGACGGTTTGATGTGATTTTGGATTGTGAAGTATTGAACAGGGTAACATAACACTGGCTTTGTGTTTAGTTTCATCATATGTACATTTATTTCGTGTGGTATATATGACACATCTCTGTGTCAGGCTGTGCTAAATAAATAGTGCTGGTGAATACGGAGCTGCAGAAAATGGGCCAGTGTCTTCCTGATACACCAACCAGGTATCATAACCATCTTTATTGGATGCGAGATTTGGGATTCAAGGGAACACCACGGAGAATCCATGGAAACAGGTGGCTCGATATTTTCTGTCATTTCTCAAAGGAAGACCAGAAGAGTGAGCAAAGCAAAAACCGTTTTGTACTTGGATTTGAGTAAAGGATGTTTCAGTCATCTTTAGAATCGTTTAATTTCTCATCATCTTGTTTGCCTTTATTTTTGTTTTCTTTTGTTATATTCAGATTTTTTTTTTTAATGAGTGGATTTTCTCCCTTCATAGACTTAAATGAACAGTGTATAGATTTCTTGAGTCTTAGGACCCTAATAATATGAATTTGTGGTGCTTCAAATTGCTTATCTGCGACTATTTTCTATTTTTTTTTTAATCTACCATTATATTGCTATAATTTATATGGACTGCCGCGCCAGTTTCGGTGAAAGAAATGCTTTATGGTCGGCCAAATGCGCTGAAAGAAATGTTATTGGATGCGATATCTATGGCGTGTGCGTGTGCGTGTGCGTGAATTTTATAAAATGGAGTTATACTGATTTGGGTTGAAAACTCGAGCTATTACTGAGAATTTATACATGGCAGTATAATGGCAGGGTTTGGGCTCCCTAATTGGTGGTCAATGGTGAAATAAAAGATAAAGGTTTGGTTTTGTACAGTTGACAAATAAAAAGTTTGGTTTTGTACAAACAAACAAAAATAAAATCAACCAAATTAAATTGATTAGTACAATAAAACTTCAAACCTATTCAGCTTGAATTGGGGACACTTTAGTTTGATTTTAGAGTCACTTTAGTTTGGATAACGTTAAAATGTTTCTAGGAAAAAAATATTGTAGTTGTTGCCAAGTTAGATTTGAATTTATGTTCATTTTTTTCGAAAATCAATTTTCTTGAAATCTAACGACAAAAAAATCATGCATGCGCAAAAACAGCACCGTAACTTCAAGCCTTATAAACTATGCATGTAATTGGAAAGGATATCATACATTTGCACCTCGAGCTATATTCAAAATAATGACGTCATTGTCAATATATATTCATGAGAAAAATAATACAGCAGTCTTCATAGTTTCACCAAATTTTTAATCTCGTCTTTAAAATTTTATTTCTTTTTATCGAATCTTTATTGTTTACTCAGTTTGAGCCGTTACTCCTTGATGTTAAACGGGGACTAACAGAGATTGTAACAGCATTTATGTGTGTTTGAGATGATGATGTGGCTGGTGACTGGATACATGTGAGTGCCTTCTGTCTCTGTTTCTCGGTGATCAGATCGTTTATTCAGAGATTTCAGTCTCCCCAAGATTTCACTCTATTGGAATCTTCACTGGGACATGACCTTGGAAACGGGTTTGTTTCAGAACAGGAAGAACCAAAAATGGGTGAACAAACCAGGATTCGTATTGATGGTAGTCAGTGGCACTAATTTTCACAAAAAGTAAGTGCAAAAACATCTTTATAGCAACTAACATCTGAATATTATTCTGTAACCATCTTTCGACAAATCTTCCGCATAATATCATCACAGATGCTAAGTCTATAAAATATATAGGCGAAAGACTTGCACTTGATCTGTAACACTCTCATTTAATTTGGTTAGGTTCAATGTAATCAGTTTTATTCAGCTTCCGATTCTCTTACAGTGATGAGGAGCTAGCACAAGCACTGGACCATCTCTGATCAACAGTAACAATAATTAACATCCTCGTTAACCAATCAGAGGCTATGTGGTCCCATGCACTTATCCACAGGGTTTGAAGTTACATAACGACTAAAAATAAAAACATCAGTACAATTATGCAACAGTAGCACATGATTTTAGCCCATACATATTTCGATGAACCTTGCTTTCAGTTGCTGTTCCTAGATTGCTTAGGAGTTCTTCTCCAAGGATGATTCACGTTTAGTCCAGTTAAAGGCTCCCAATGTTCAATAAAGGGGGAAAAAATGCATATCATTATGGATCTACCAACTCAAGCAGCAGAGGCACAAAGCAGATTGGACTCACAAACTAATCGTTAGATCTTAAAAGCAGTTGATCATTGGTATCACCCATGGGAAACTTACCAGGCCTCTAAAAAGAAGTTTCTTCCTGTACAAGATATCCGGGAATGTAAATAACATGCAATTGAGAATCGAAGATGCGAAACAGGATTAGCCATCGTTGATGCCAACTGATCATTTTACTGAAAGTTTAATACAAGAAGGGAATAACGGCCTTCCTATTCTTAGGATAATCTTCCCCAAATTTATCCAAATACCATTGATGATTTGCTCTCGCCCTAGGCCCCAAATTCGCGAAAGTGTAAAGGAAGAACCCTAATCCAGCCCAGGACCAAGTCATCACTGCCCACCCAAGCCACTCCACTATCTCCCCAAAGTAATTCGGACAACTGACAAGCTCAAAGATCCCTCCCCTGGGCACCACATACCCCTTCCCTTGTCGCTTCAGCCTCAGCAATTCCCTATCAGCCCACACATTAATCCAAATCCCACACACAAACACCACAGCACCACCGCAAAACCGCCACCAGAACCAGCCATCCCCGTCGTCGTAATCCTTGTAGTGAGAAACACATCTAGCCTGCACGTACGAGTTTAACAAATTGAAGGCGAATGCCATTGATGCGATGCTCAGCGGGAACCCGCTCGCGGTCTTCGATGAGGGCGACTTCAGAAGTCGAAGGGGGTGGAGGACGGTGCGATTGAAATAATGGAGGAGAAAAGGAGAGATGAGGATTAGGGATCTAAGATTTGAAGAGTGACGGCCGTGAGGGAAGAGGAGAAGGGTGAGCCATATGGTTGGGCTCTCCATGAGAAACCATGCCAATGGTGGAGGAAGATTGGGACCCCATCCTGAACGGTGGTGCTTGCCGTATGGAGCTTGGAGGAATCGGAGGCCAATGAAGGTTGGGGGAGCGATAGCAAGGAGGCTGAAGAGGGCTCCGCGAAAGAGAGTCTCATCTTCGATCATGTTTGCTTCGCTTCAGAGCGTCCTCTTCGATATCGGAGGAAAGCCCAAGCGCCGAGAGGCCGGGAGCGAGGAGTGAGAACGAAAGTACCAATTGATGATCAATAAAATAATAATAATAATAATAATAATAATAATAAATCCTGGAGAAGCTGGATCTGCCAAGTGCCAGGGGCTAACGACTGATTGATGATCGAGAAAAAATTTATAAAAAAAAAAATACTGAAGAAATTGGTTCTGCTGGCTGCTGCTCAAGGTAAAATTAAATCAAAAATAATAATAAAATACCGTTCAAGTATTATTTTATTTTTAAAAATAAATGTTAAATGATTTTAAAAAATGAAACAGAATATACTAATTATTACTCATAAAAATTAATAAAATTCAGATTAACCATAAAAAATGGTAGTTAGGTTCAAAACTTAAAGTTAATAAGATCTTGAAAATTTTCATTAGGAGATAAGTTGTAAACAATGATTTAGACTTATAAATATAGGAGTCCCCGTTGTAAATTATAAAATTTAACCATAATTAATTCTTGATTTGTAATTGCGACTTTTATATGTAGCAATTCCATTTAATATGTGTGAACAAAAATTTTTTAATCATGCTCTCTCATTTAACCAGTCGAGATGAGACCTAAATTACCCAAATGAATTTTGTGGTTTGACGTTAAGTGTGTTTAGTTTTTGCTTGTCAAATCAGGAGTTCATACACACAATATAGAGTAGTTGAGACATTAAGACGTGAACATTTTTTTTTTTTAGTAAAAACGGCAAGTTACATGCTTGAAACGGTAATGACTATGTGAAGCATGTTCCACACAGATTGAGATAAGACGTAAACAAATTTTTTTTTTTTTTGTAGTAAAAGTGGCAAGTTGCATGCTTGAAACGGCATAGCTATGGGAAGCATTTTCTACATATAGATCTTATATAATAGTCTCAACAAAACCAAGCAAGTTCAAATACAGAGTCGCCGACATAAATGAACTCCTTTACATTAGCATATCCTCTTCATATAAAACTTGCATCGACTCTCATTCGTCTCAAGCGTTTGTTACTATAATTGAATAACAACAATGGCAAAGCCACGTGGTGTTACGAGAGAGCAAGTGCATCCTCTCACTCTCCCACTTTAAGAATAGTTTTAAACTTAATGCTTAGGTTTTAGTATTTTGCATTCAAGTTGAAATTTGAAATCACTTGCCTTTGAGTTTTAATATTTTGTACCCATGTCCGTAAGTTTCAAGATTTTGCAAGTTCCATCACCAATGATAATTTTACCCACAAGGATGGATGAAAATAAGTTAGGTCAAGATAGGCATAGCCAAATAAAATAGATTTAAACTTGTGTAATAAGTCAAAAGTTTGAGCATGGCTTAAAGTTTATATAAGGTTTTTTTTTTGTCACAACTCAAATTAGATAAAATAAACTTAAGCATTTTATAGTCGGTCAAACTTTTGTCTACATATCATTTTAGTAAAATTAAGTTGTCAATTTTTCAAGAGGAACTTGTAACTTTATTCTATATGCCAATAAGTATTAGTAAAGCAACAAGCTCATGTTGATGAAGTGATAAGTTCTTAAGCCTTTGATGAGTACATTTCATTTAAAAAAAAAACAACTCGTGCACATTAAATTTTCTTCAACATTTTACCGTAATAAATTGATAAGTAAATTTTTTTAAAATAATAAATTCATATGAGTTTTTTGACAAATATATTTTTGGCCGTTTGCATTTTAAATTTTTGTAACAAATTTTCATTAATAATTTAACAAATAAATATTTTTGAAATGACAAGTTAAGTTCTTGATAAGTGAAAACAAGGTTGATAATATTTATAAATTTGTGCAATATATGTCTAAGAAGCATTGATAGCTTAGTGGCAATAAATTTTAAGACTAAAGGATCATACTCATTAGTTCAAATTTTTGCCTTCTTGAAAATTTAACTATCATCGACAACCACTAGTAGTGATCCGCACAAGCAATGACAGTGGGAGGATTTTTTTTTCAAAAATATATTAATTATTTTTATTTTTTTACAATAAAATTTAATTACATTTATATTTTTTATTTGTAAAATAAATTAAAATTTTTTCAGTCCTTTTTCTACCATAAATGTTCTTAAATTGGTCCCTAGATGTAGTGGCGGAGCCACATGTCAAATGAGAAAAATATATTAATTATTTTTATTTTTTTACAATAAATTTTAATTACATTTAAATTTTTTTATTTGTAAAATAAATTAAAATTTTTTCAATCCTTTTTTTTACCATAAATGTTCTTAAATTGGTCCTTAGATGCAGTGGTGGAGTCACATGTCAAATGAGAAAAATTACTTACATGAGAATGGAGGTATAGGCATTTATATTTTGTACCCCTCTTTTTTATAATTTGCATTTTAAATCATTTCATATTATTTTTTAACTCAGATCCAAAATTAATTTTTTTAACTCAAAAGCCAATAAATTTTAGCCCACAATTTTAATATACCCAAATAATAATATTATTTTATAAAAAATTAACATTTATTAAACCTTTAAGAAAATAAAAAAAAATAATCTCACCTGCGTTGTTTGAAATTTCAAAACAAATTTGTGAAAAAATTAATTGAAACTGAAAGACACATTATTTATTCATTAGTTTACCTTCTCTTGAAATTAGTAATGGTGTTGTTTATTATTACAACAATAGTTGAAAGAGCTTTTTTTATTATAAAGTTTGTAAAAATTCAGTTGTACAATCAAATGAAGAATCCATAGATGAATGATTCTCTCATGACTTGTATTGAAAAAGATATATTCGAAAGCATTGATAATGAGCCAACTGTTTAACAATTTCAAAACATGAAACCATGTAGAAAAAATTTATAAAGTATGTAATTATTAAATAATTTTTGTTATTTTTTAAATTATGACTATGTAAATAATTTCACCCCTCCTGACTCAAAATCCTGATTTTGCCATTGCTTAAATGTGATTCCTCAAATGGTTATATCATCTTAAATATAAGTCTTAGTTGTAGTCTCTTTATATATCAAATATTCTATCATTTTGGTCCTTAAACATAATTTCACTATAATCATTTATGTGCAATACACTCGGTCATGTTAAGGTTAAAGGAAAAAAAAAAAGGCTACATATACAGTCATGTTCTGCCCATGATGCTATATTGAGGTGTGGGTTTGAAAATCGAAGACAAAAAAATTGCTTGCCCATGTTTTTTATTTTATTTTATTTATTTATTTATTGCGAGGAAACATTAGATTAACCGGCTAATGAATATTATTATTATATATTTTAAAAAATTATGATAATTAATTTCACCATCAAAGGGATAATTGATTCGTGGTCCCCCCCGGGGGGGGGGGAATAGTTAATTACGGTAACTTAGCTATTTAGCTAATCAAAAGAAATTATGCAACTGAGGTGCGTATATTAGTTTAAGCATTAAAAGCTACTGTGTCTTAAAAATTAATTTCTGAAATCTCTCAGCTGCCAGGGATCGCGTATGTTTTTTCCCTCGCCTACCCATGCCTGCATTCGTTGTTCTCATCCTTTCTTCTTCACATGGCTTGATTGATTCATTCATTGATAGAAGAATAAAGCAACATCAACCTTTACTTCTCTTAAATCCAACCTTCATTATTTCCCCACCTATTTCTGTTTCTCCTTAGGTGTTCGATGAACTCTCAGTCATGAAGAACGAGCACTGCTTACCATAATTGTAGGGTTTTTCATTATTTTCCCTTTTTTTTTTCATTGTAACTTGTTTGCATTAGCTCTGTGTTACTGTGATCAAGCGACCCTCATTTTTGGATCCAACACGAGCACACTCTGCGGGAGAGGAGGGTCGTCATTTCACAGGGGAATTGGCCATCCAAATCGTGTGTCTACGGAGGTTTGCCACTCTCGAACGCTTTTCCTTCTCTGCTGTCCAAGCATGCTATATTTATGGCTTGAGCTTTGCTACCTAGGGGTTGAATATTTTGCGCTGATTCTGTTAATGTATCATTCCTTGGAAATGGGGATGCAAGAAAAAGCAATGTGGAAATTTTTTTTTATTGGATTTGGGTGATTTTTGTTAATTGGATTGCGAAGAGAACACTGTGGTTTCAACGGTGACTGTTCTCCGTTGGTAGGAGGACTAAATAATTGGTTTCTCTACTCTGTTTCATATGGTTGTCAAAAACATGGAGATTTTGCTTATTTCGTTGAACTGATGCTTGCACAATAAGCCGGTATAATATGTTGTTGGTAACTTTTAGTCTTGCTAGACATGTGGGTGTGACGGTTGGCTATTTAAATGATGCAGGCAAAAGATTATAGTTCCTGACACACCAAGGTCATTGTGGGCTGTAAGTGTTCTACTACAGCGAATGTTGCTTGGCACTTAATGATTGTTGCTATGGACTTGAATGCCTCACCGGTGCCTGAGGAAGATGATGATATTTTTGAGAGACATATAGAAGAGTATATCCAACCAGAAGAACGCATAGAAACTGCAGTTGATATAGCACGTCGTGTATAATTTCTTCTCCTCTTTTATATTTTAGCCCTTCCCCCTCTATCACTGTTTCTAAGTAGGTTCTCATGCTTGCTTCACTGGAAATTATCAATTACTGGGATGCAGCTATTTCAAGAATTTTGTTCAATTTAGTTGAAAACTGTATTATTATTTAAATTGAGGCAATGTTAGTCCTTACTTTTTCTGTATCCCTCGTCATATGAAGAAACATATTTTTTCTTGGAAATTTGTCTTCTTTTGTTTCCAAAATTGGATAGAAGTATACGCATTACATAACATTGTACAGTTGGAGTTATCCATAGTTGGCCTGGAAAAATATCAAGCATTGATCTTTTAATTTTATAACAGCTGATGGAAATTGAATGAATTAAATTATTATATATCCCTCAATTGGAAACCGGGTCAATAACCATAATATATGCATATAATAAACAGCCTTTTCTTAAACCTGCATGTATCTTTGCAAATCCACATACTTGAAGTAACTTTTGCTGGAATCCACATCGATTCTTGCCTTGAATTGTTCTTAGATATTGAGCATGTGTCTGGTTTGTTGTATTGACGAAGTGTATAATAAAATTGCTTCAAATGTCTTGTCATTGTGAAAGGACATGAATTTGATGCACCCAAAATTGTATTGCTGAATTTTAGATGATGCATAGTATCTGAGTCAATAAAATTATGAATTGAAACTAGCTTAGAAATGGATGGCTCTCACACACTGAAGTGGTAGCTACTTTTGAAAATAGAGAAAATAAGGACAAAATGAAATCCCAAAATTTAGCTTCTTGTATTTTTCATTTAACTAAACCAAAACTGATTGCAGTCCTGATAAATCTGACGTAACAATGGGCCAAGTACATGTTAGGAAAGGTGTCCAAGGTCCATCCTTAAGCAAATGGGATTGTGCGTGCATCAGTTAGAAGCCTGCTGAGGCCTCACAGCATCAGGACAATAAAGAGGAGCGACCTCGGAGCACCTAATTGTTGTTTTCTTATGTGAGAGAGTGTGTGGGCAGGGATGTGTTTTTAGGGGCTTGTGCCAGTAGGTTGAGCCGTTGAGGTAGAGGAAGACCAAAAATGACATTCAAGGAAGTTATCAGTCAAGAGTTATTGGTGAATAACATATCGGACGAGTTGGTTGCAATGGTGTTAGGCAATCAATAAAGTTTGTTTTTGTTGTTGTTATTGTTGTGCCAGTAGGTTTGAGGAAGAACAATTGCTTGTTTTCATGTGGGGAGGGCCTGACCTCTCAAAAGTCAGGTGCATGAGTCTTTCTTTGCTCTTCATGTGTTATTTTCAGTATTCCTCAGCGTTTTCCTTGTACTATAATTAGCTATAGCTTGGTTAATTTGTGTTTTTCCTCTTTCCATTCCATAGTTGAGGTGCAACTGATTCCTTAGTTAAATAAATTATCAATATTGTCCAATTTCCCAAGATCCCCAACTGAATTTTTTCTTTGGGCATCTAATCATATCTGGTGACATGCGCTGCCCTTTTTTTTTTTTGGATAAAAGATGCTAACAAGCATTGATGCACAGACTATTTCATAATCATTCAAATTTCAGATGTACTTTCTTTATCCAAGTGATGTGGTTTTTTATCAGTGTGTAATGGCTTTTTTCCTGCCTCTTTTTAGGAGCGTGAAGAAAGGAAAAGACGGCTGAAAAGAGAACGGACAGACGATAGACCTGCCCATGTATCACAGTCGACAACTGGTTATGATCAGACCTTTCATGCAAAGTTTCTCAAGTCATATGATAAAAGTAGGCTTCCTCCAGGTAAATTGCTGCCTTGATCATGGTAATGAGTAATTTGATTACAGTCATATCTCCTCCCAGCAATTTCATAACAGCACTTCGGTTTTCAGAAGTGTAAAATTCAGATAATTACTTTGTTAAGTTTACTACCTTATTAAATACTATATGAATTGATATTCTAGGTTGCACTGTTCTGTTGTCTTGACTCTTGAGTTTTCAAATGTCATATGCAGATCATGTAACTTTTAAGTGTGTCATTACCTTGTATAATTTGTTAATTTTTACACTCCAGTCTAGCACTTGAACTTCTGCTTTCTGTCATAAATTAAGTGTATTAATCTATTAACAGACGTTAAACCGACAAGTACCAATATTGTAAATTGATATTAAGAGATCTAAGTGATATGACAGCTCTTGGACGTCCATTGATGGGCTGATCAATCCTTTTAATTACCTAATGTCAATAATATACGGACTTTTCTAGGGAGGTGGATCTGCAAAGGGATTGAAAGACTCTTGAGTTAAAGCAGGGGTTTCTTTCTTTTGCTTCAGCTTTCGTTTAGGGAGGGGCTCTTGTGATCTGTTATGCAATTCTTTATCCATGCTGTTTGTTATCGTTTCTTTTGGGGCAGTGGGGAGGGTTTGATGAAAGTGAATATATGACATTATATGACTGTGTTTTGTTCATCTACTGCAGAAGGATGAGTAGTTTGTGCTTTGCTTTTGTGTTATTGGGGATTACTGGAATGTGTCTTATGTAACAGATTGCAGATGGCTGTATGTGTAAGTTGATAAGTGATCCTGAATTATCATTTTTTTTGGTTCACCTGCAGGCTGGTTGGATTGCCCTTCATTTGGTCAGGAAATATACTGCTTAATACCTTCCAAGGTTCCACTTGGTGAATCATTCAATGACTGTATTGCTCCTGGTCGAAGATACTCATTTAAACAAGTTATACATCAACAACGAGTTCTGGGGAGAAAAGTAAGTAGAAAATAAACAATTGTGTGATTTACTTGCGACACTGTTTCTCCTTCATTGTTGGTCCTGCACATCTTCTCTTGTAGGCCATAATTGGATTTTTCATTCTATTTGTACTAGTTAGTAAGACTATGAAAAGGGGGAGCAGAAGCGAAAAGATCCTGGGATGGATTTGTTTAATGGAGTTGCTATCTGTACTGCTGTCTTCAGCATTAAAATTAAAAAGAGAGATTTAATACCCCATTTCTGTAGGGTGACACGTTTTGTTTACTTCCTGATTGCCCTTTTCCATTATCTTATGATTTGCAGCTTGGTTTGGTGATTGATCTGACAAATACTACTCGTTACTATCCAGTTTTAGATCTGAAGAAAGAGGGTATCAAGCATATTAAGGTTTCTGGCAGGCGATTTTCCTTTATTAGCTTGAGCTTTTTTAATTATATCTCTAAAGCTATGATACCGTTTTCTGGTCCTGATGTTTTAAGATCGTTTTTATGGTTTAGATTCAATGCAAGGGGCGTGATTCTGTACCTGATAATTTGTCTGTGAATCAATTTGTCCATGAGGTTTGCTTCATTCTTATATTCTTGTTTCCCTGAGTTTTTTTGAAGATCGTGAAATTTTTTGTTCATCATGTCATTCATTGCTTGTCGAAACATGTCTATTATTATCTCATTAACGCATCCTGGAAGAGTGGGGGTTCCTGGTAGTTTCAAGATTCTTTGGTTTGTAGTGTTGTTTAATGGTTGATGTGTTGAAGCTGTATTTTCTTTTGCAAAAAAAAGGGAAAAAAATCTTGTGTAAGCATTATTTTTTAGATTAATTCATGTTAGAAGATAAATGTAAACTAAAATTGATTCTCTAGTAGATGCTGAAAATTCAACTGGCACAAACTTCTTTCCTTTTGAAACTCTATATATTTTAAATATAATTTATTTATACATCTATGTAGAACTGTGATGGCTTTTTATATTTTTTTTAATTGTACTTATGCTTGCATTTGATTATGTGTGAACAATTCATAAAGTAGAAAAATTAGATTTCCGTTTTGTCTTTGGCCAGCAAGAAAATCAAATTTCTCGAGTGCTTTGTGTGACTTTGGAGAAAACCAAAATTACTGAATTTCTCCTTGTTAGATCATCAAAACTTTGTTGGCAAATCTTTAATCATGTGATTATCTACTATTTTAGGTTACTCAATTTCTATCACGTCAAAAACAAGCAAAGAAGTATATACTTGTCCATTGTACACATGGACATAATCGTACTGGATACATGATTGTCCATTATCTTATGCGCACTATGTCTATGTCGGTCACCCAGGTTTGTAACTCCTTATGGTTCTCTCTCTCTCTCACTTGCACGTGTGCACTCACACACACACACAGATGTTTGAAGTGCTGTTTTCATCATGTTAATTTGACTGTTCTGCAGGCAATTAAATTATTTTCTGAAGCACGCCCCCCAGGAATTTATAAACCTGATTATATTGATGCTTTGTACACATTTTATCATGAAAAAAAACCTGAAATGGTAGTTTGTCCTCCTACACCAGAGTGGAAGAGATCCTCTGAATTTGATCTCAATGGTGAAGCAATGCCAGATGATGATGATGATGGAGTGCCATGCCCTCCTCAGGTATGGATAACTTATGGAGTGAATTTATTATATTTTGGCTTGTACTATTATCTGCTACCTTTTAAATGCTTCCTTATACCAAGGCATGTAAGTGATTATGGATACTTTCTTAGGAAGTCATCGTATGCATCTCTTTCCATCTCCTCACTTTCCACTTGTTTATTTTTACTCCTTCCTCTTGGCACAACCGCCATACCTGTTAGCTGTAGCAAGGAAGTAAATGGTCATCTTAGATAGCTAATGTTGTACTTTTTTTATGACTGTCGATCATATTTGGAATGTGAAGTCCATTGTCAGCCGATAATATCTGGTGAAAACCAGAAGATAATTGCCCATTCAACTCAATTAGTGAAGCATATTATAGCGCATATTATAGGCCAATGGTAGTCAAGCCTAGAATTTTGCTGAAATCTAGGACTCTAAACAAATAATCATAACGGAAATAATTACTCCTACTTGCCTGAACGGAACTATCAAAAACTGATAACAGGGGGAAAACAACTCTAATGGGCTAAGGCCCAATAATCCATGTCTTGTGGTTCTCCAACAATATCTTATGGTACTTCATTATTTTTCTAACCTTAATTGTCAACTAGTTTCATGCTTAAGCTGCTTGTTCATCCAATGGAAACTTTGAGAAAAAGCTAGTACTTTTGTTAACCCTTGTTTCTAATGATCTCAGGAGAACCATGAGACAGATGCAGTGATGACAAACGATGATGTTTTGGGAGATGAAATACCTCTTGATCAACAAGATGGATTTCGACAGTTCTGTTATCAATCTCTTAAATTGAATTTTGGGGTAAGCCTTTTAAAGTGTTGGTTTTCATGTGAGGTACTGTTCGCAATCCTTCTGTGTTGAGCACTCAAATAGGGAAATAGTGAAATGTTAATTGTTGGTTATTTTACTGTATATATATCCATTTTTATTCAACTATATTGTGATAAACTGTTTGATGGCATGTCTACTGCAAGTTCTTGTACCAGCACAGTTGATATTTTCTCATTTGGTCCTAGTCATTATATCACATTGCAGGCCTGTTGATTTGTAATGCTAAGTGCTTGGTCAATCATATGTTTCAGGGACTTTGCTCCTCCATGTTAAAAAAGTGTTTGTTTTAAGATGACGGGATTGGTGATTTCTTGTCAGTATCTTGTCATGCAAGCTTTTAATTATGTTTTATCTGTTAATGCGATGATAGGTATATTGATAGTGAGGTGTGCTATTTTGGTGTGAGGATGGCTCCAATGTTTCATGAATAATTTGTAGAACTAATCAGTGCCTTTTCTTCTCATGGATAATTTGTGCAATTTTGGTGCAGATGCCTCTTGTGTTTCATGAATCTTTCTCTAGGAATGGCTGGCATTTCCTTTCTGAAATGACTTTGTTTTATTTTTCTTAATCATGATCACGATGAACTATTTAGATATTCTTATTTGTATTGAATACAATATGTTATGGTATATTTATTAAAATAATGATGTGGGTTCCATGCTTTGCACAAGTCTAAGGTGAGTCATGCTGTTTGTGAATTATGATCAATGTGACTTTTCATAGATTTTATTTTTTATACAGATATATAGATTCAAGTTGTGGACAATATGGAATTTTTCAGAGATTGTAGCCAGCATCTTGCTTCCCCCCTCCCGTTAATTCATTATGTTTGATGATTTTCATGTACTGATTTAGCTATTTATGAACCACTTTACTTATTCTCTGCGTGCAGGCCAGAGGACACTCACATTTTCCAGGTTCCCATCCAGTTTCTCTTAATAGGTCTGTAGGCAATTTAATTTTTGGATATTTCGCTTGTGTTATTTTTATGCCAAATTTTATTTGTTCATAGTCCAACTTATTTAAATCAGTAGATATTATGTTTTGATGTATATTTTTTTTTAATATTTTAAATTCAATAGAAGAATTTGGTGAAGAGAAACAAAAATACAACAACGGAGCACAGAGATTTTTCCAAACTATGCGGGAATATAAACTAAACAAACCTTTGTATAAAAAAACTAAACAAGCATTAGTAATATAAACTAAATAACATAAGGGTGTTTTCTAACCCCTTTGTATGTCTAGAAGGGACATTCCCCCTCTCCCTTTTCTCTAAAAAAAGCCGTTGACTGCAAACAGCAGGGAAGTACCGAAAAAACTGTCTACCACAGATGTATTGCACAAGACTTCTGACTTAAGATTCATGCTGTTCTCATCACAGTCGTTGCAATCCTGCAAAAAAGGATGACTGTTAAAGGACTTTATGCTGTTCTTTATTCTTAAAACCATTGAACCTGATGTTAATATTTTCTCTAGAAAGCTGGATAAACCCAGTAATTATTGAAGATTCCAAACAGTCTACCTCCAATCTCTCATGCTACTTGAAAATGCTAAAAGAGATTATCTTTTGTTTCTGAACCTTGCTAACACATCAGTTAAACATGTGATGAAATAGCCTTATTTTGCCTTACATGGTGAAATAGCCTTATTTTGCTTGTTAACTTACTCGGTAATTTTATTGAGTGCTCCAGCCCAAATAATAGCCTTTACCTTGGAGCCTTGATCTTCTTAGACTACTTAAACAAATAAAAGCTTTGGGCCAATGGGTTTTTAATTATAAGTTGATCAAGGAATGACAGCTGTGTAACCCTGAATAATCGAGATTCCAGATCCTTCTATCAATCTAAGGACAGAAGTGGAAATGATTACAACAACAAAATGAGAAATGACAATTCCAGGTGAATTCAATATGTTGCAAGTTTAAGAAAATCTTAGCTTCAGACATGGCACAGAGTTAGCTGATAAGTCTGCGGAAGAGTTCAGACAATGAAAATGATTGGTCATTCCAAAATTTTAATCAAGTACCATTCCAACTTATAAGAAAGCAGGGGAGAAAAGAAACGATATATATGAGAGATGAACTTCAAAGGTATTGTGTAAATAGCACCAATTCCAGAGGCATCCTAACCAATCTGTTGAATCCCTTATTTGTTGCTAATTAACCTATGCCATAAAGAGTCAGGCTTCAGAGGATTCTTATGTTTGGCATTTGGATTCTTATGTGCATCCTTTTGTCTCTCTTATTCTTTAACGTCTTATGATATTGATTAATACAAATTAAAGTGGGTTTGTGGGCGATGGCATGAAAATAAGATTTTGTGAAGATATTTGGGAGGAAGATATTCCTTTTCTGGATCATACCTTGTCTTTATTGGCTTTCTGCCATGCGTAATTCTCCCATCCTAAAATTTCTTTCTATTTTTAATTCCAATTCCAATTGATCTATGAATTTTCTTGTTATCAGAAAGCTGAATGGTGTGAGAGCAGTGAGCTTTAGTTCTTCTTGTCTTTTGATAGTTCTTGTTCCTTTTTGTTCGAGTCAAGATGTGTGTTTGGAATCTTGATTCATCTACTCCTGCAAATCCTATTTTTGGTTCCTTACTCATTCTACAAGTAGGTAAAGGTTTGTAATTGATAAGAAAATTTGCAAATCTAAACCTTCTTATAATGTCAAACCCTTTGTTTAGTCTGCAATAGTTATCGACTTATCGGATAAACACTGATGATATTCTGCTTTTATGGCTCCATATAACTATTTCTCTTGATGTGTGTCACGTGGAAATCAGATTTGGAAACTATGCTCTAGTTTTTTCTTCATTGTCCATCATTGAGTTACCTTTCAAACAGGCTCTCATGTATTTTAGATAATATTGGGTATGTCCTTGCACTTTGGATCATTCCCAACAAATTCTTTGAAAAGGTTCTTAACAAGAATTTTTATTTTTATTTTTTTTGGCCCCTGGGGGGGTGGGGGGTTGAAGGTGCAATTTATGAGAATAAGTGGTTTGTTGGTTTGAGAGGAATGCCCCCATCTCAACAGGCATTTCATGCCTTTAGATTTGTCATCCATCTGTACACACCCGTAGTTTTTATATTTTACTTGGGGTAATTGTATTAGTTGAATGTAGAAGTTATTTCCAGTGCCTTGTTCCTTATCTTTTAATTAAATTTGATTATGTTAAAATTGCAGGGAAAATTTACAATTACTACGACAGCGTTATTATTATGCAACTTGGAAAGCTGATGGAACAAGATATATGATGCTAATAACTATGGATGGATGTTACTTGATTGATAGAAGTTTCAATTTTCGAAGGGTGCAAATGAGGTTTCCTTGCAGAGGCTCAAATGATGTATGTGTGCAACTTTGTACTGGAAGTTCCTGGGAGTGGCTGTCAGACTGTTTTAATTTATTGATGCCCAAATTGACATTTTGTTACATTTGGCTTTAAGGGTTTGGCTGAGAAGACCCACCACTACACATTACTTGATGGGGAGATGATCATTGATACATTGCCTGATTCACAGAAACAGGAGAGGAGATACCTCATATATGATATGATAGCAATTAATCACGTATCAGTAATAGAGGTTTGGTTTATAACTCATCCGATTATAGTGCTGGATGCTTGCTTTTTGCTTATAACTAACATCAGTGCATACTTCTTGCGGAGGAAAGATTTATGGTTCCCACTTGCTGTTATCTCTAATCATGTGATGCATTGCTAAAATGTGCAAGATTTGCCATGCAACTAAGCTCCTTAATTTCCAGGTTTATTTTTTGATAGGTGATACTCATTGTCAACAGAGAACCAGTAGATGGATTCTTAATGACTTCCCGCTAGATTGTCTAGTCCCTTCTTATTGCTGTTAGCAAACCAGCACTTTCTTGTGTTGCAATCCGGGGGCTAGTTTGTTTAAGGCTATTAAAAAAAAAAAAAAGTGATTTTGGTTAAGTTAAACATGAGGAAGTTGTTGGGAATATGGGGATTGTTGGGAGAACCTTAAGCTATTTATCATGGTTTGGTTGGGAAAAAAAAATTCTGGTTTCAACTTATTTTAGTAATCTATTCCACATAGATTATCAAAATAAGCCCACAACAAATTTTTTTTCAACACACCCTTCATGTTTAGCTTAAGATTCTCCCATGCTCCCAACAACTTCCTCATGTTTAACTTAACTAAAATCACTTTTTTTTTAAATAATCTTAAACAAACTGACCCCAAATGTACCTGTTGCATTTTTGGCAGGTTTAAGATCAATATGCATTCTTATTTTTCTTGGGAGTGGCTAGGGGATGGAGAGAACTGTGTTTCCTTCATGCCTTGTAAAAATTAAATATAATAAATGCTTTTGTATTTTTCTTTCTTAGATGTTCAACCTGTTTGTTATTGTGTCTTTGTTGGCTCTGTAATACATAGAAACAAAGGATTGCTTCAATTAGAAGAGTCAGGCATATGCTATAAATGTTTATGTGGGAACCATTGAGATAAACATCCAATAATGCAATAGCCTATTTACCTACAGCAGGAGAAACAAAAGAATACTGAGCTAGGGTAGATGGAAATAGTGAGTAGAGGCAGACCAGGTCAACCTAGAAGTTGGAGAAGGCAGAATGTGATATGGTGGCACTATTCAACTTTGTAGGAAGCATGTAGTCACGTTAATATAGTGCCTAGGAGTTTATTTTAGGGAGAATTAGTGCTAGGTCCCTTGAAATGATTCCAATTATCCTAAAGTCCCATGAAATGCATAAATTACTACCAAGTCTCAGGTCCCTTATTGTAAATAAGTTTTGTATGCAATTACAAAAATACCCTTATCTCTCTTTCTTCTCCGCATTGTCGCCTTGTGCCCTCTTCAGCCTTAACCAGCCACCACCTCTCTGCTAACGAGCTTGCAATGCCATCTCACCTGCGACGGCCAATGGTGTCTTTTGCTTCAACTTCATCGTCTGCAATGTCAACTTTGGTGTGATCTTCATCATCTCCGGTCGTGTTTCCCTTAGCAACCTCCACCAAAGTTTCTCAGATCTCTGCCATTGCTGCCACCTTCTTCAAACTCTACCCTCTTATTTTCCTCATATTTTCATTGGCGGCTTTCTTTGTGTTGTGCATTCATTATGCATTTGTCATATATATCCTCCATCTTCAGTCTTCAAAGGCGCCAGATCTTTGATCCTGAAGAAGAGGCAGCAGCAATGTTTGGAGGGTTCTTTTTTATGGCTTCCATAAGGGTTCTTTTCTATTTTTTTTATTTTGTTTTTTTCCTGTTGCTTTTTATGAAATCTGATCTGATTTATGCTCTTCTGGTTCATGTGATTGCTTTATGTTTTTGTGTGTCCCGAGTTGATATTCAAAGGAGGCCTGCGATTTTGTTTGAATGCCCTTTGCTAGGAGTTGCAGAATATGAAGAATTGAGATAGTGGTTTGTGTTCTAATTTTGTGATGCTCTTCATCATTTGCCTTGATGTTTGATCTTTGATTGTTGGTCTATGGCGGTGGACGCTGCAGGTAGTTCTTCAATGGTTTGATGATATTTCTCCCAGTAGTGGTTCTTTGAGTGTGGCTGGGAGTTTTTTATTTTATTTTTTTGGCATAAAAAATAAAATAAGATAATGATGTTTCTGTAATTGTACAAAAAAACTTATTTACAATGAAGGGACTTGGGACTTGGCAGTAATTTATGTATTTCATGAGACTTTAGAATAGTTGAAATCATTATGAGGGACCTGGTAGTAATTCTCCCTTTATTTTATTCAATTGTGCGTTTTACATTATAAATAGATGTATGGCAGCAGCAGTTGGCAGATTCGGAATTGATTTGTTATTGTATTGGGGAGATTCTCCTTTGATTTATTAAGAGGTTTTGGCATTCAAGAGACTCGCACTAATTTTCTAACAAATTCCTATTTCCTTTCATATTTTCTAGTCTGATTCTATCAACCGTACCCAAGCAAAGAAGCCTTTAGACATCTATTATTGTAGAGAGGAATATGTGGTTGCACAAATTAGCAATCACTGGTATACCACACATCTCACATTTTTGTCCAAGGTGTTACTGCCTTGAAATTGCCTTTTTGTGTTGATATTCATGCTGCCCGACTGAAATTTCCTTTTCATTCTAAGCTTTTCTTTGATATTATTGTATGTTTAGTTACATGTAATATGTTTTCTTATTTTGTTGAATATTTGATAAAAAAACTGCACCTAGCTCATTGTGTTCAAAATTTTAAATTTTGGTCCAGCGACCGTTCTATGAAAGGTGGAAGATGCTTGAGAAAGAAGTGATTGAACCTAGAAATCAGGAACGGCATAATACGTACCAGAGCAGAAATCCTTATTATAGATATGACCTGGAACCATTCAGGGTATGCATCACTAACCTTAGAATTAGATTGAACAGAGTTTAAGCTTCATGTCATTTTCCTTTTCATGTTAACTTGTCTATTGATATACTTGTATTTTGAATTAGGTGAGGAGGAAAGATTTTTGGTTGCTCTCTACCGTGACAAAGCTTTTAAATGAATTCATTAAGAAACTCTCCCATGATGCAGATGGCCTCATATTTCAGGTGGGTTTTGGATCAGTGTCATTATACTTAACGTGAGAATTAGATTCCCCTCATCTGATAAGTTGATAAGAAGTTTCTGTGTCAATGCTAGCCTTTTAGGGTATTTAGTTTGCTTTCATTGGCTGTCACATCAGGATCTGCATACTACTGCATGAGGATGAATATCTTCAGGACTTAATAGTGTTCTGCTTTTCTTTTCCTCGTGTTTTTTAATTGAATTTAGGTCCTTACTGATGGTATGAATTGTCAGGGTTGGGATGATCCTTATATACCCCGCACTCATGAGGGCCTCCTGAAGTGGAAATATCCTGAGATGAATTCAGTAGATTTTCTCTTTGAGGTTGTAGCATCAGCTTATAACATGATGTTGGGAAATTGCGTTTGATTTCCCTTGCTTTTTTTACTTGTTCTGGGTCACTTCCACTTCCAGTTTGTTGCTGGTGATCTACCTAATTTTTATCTGCTTCCGTGGACAGATTGACGATGATCACCAATCACTTTTCCTTCATGAACGAGGAAAGAAGAAACTCATGGAAGGGAATAGGGTTGCATTCAGAGGTCAGTCAGATGAGATCCATTCCCGTTAAAAACAAAATATTTATATATATATATATATATATGCCGTCCACTCTTTCAGTTTTGATGATGCAATCTGCCTTCATGCTTGGCAGTACACTTGAAAGTCGTGTCTCTTGGCTTTGTTAGTTTCTATATAGCACGTTTTAGTAGTACTATCCGTTGTGATTTGTTTTGATGTGAAGTCTGATTTTAGCTCGTGACTGATTCTTACTTTCTGATTGTTTCATTGCAATTGCTCACTGTATGGTCCTATCTGCAGATGGTTCAGATCCCTTGCTTCATTCGGGGAAGATCATAGAGTGTTCTTGGGATTTGAATGAACAGGAATGGGTATACATGCGAACCAGGACGGATAAATCAACTCCAAATGATTTTAATACTTACAAGAAGGTCCTACTCTTGGCCCACTACTCTTTTATTTTTCCGCTTGTTGAACTGTACTTGAGCTCAGCTTGTCTGTTTTCTTTCTTTCTTTCTTTATTTGTCTTTTTTTTTTTTAAATATACTACAGGTTATGCGGAGTATAAAAGACAACATCACGGAGGATGTCTTGTTGAATGAAATTTACGAGATAATTCGCCTTCCAATGTATGCCGACAGGATAAAAAATGAGAGCAAAGCCCACCAGCATGTTGGTGTAGCACGCCGAAGGTGATTGGTGAGACTGGCATTTGATGTCTGTGACATTTTCTCTGTTAATAAGATGCTGGAAGTGCATTTGATCGAGAAAAACAAATTCAGCCGCATCTATTGATGCTTGTCTACCAGATTAATTTCAATTTGTAATTGGATTTGACTATGATGTGGCCATCACACATGTAGGCTGCTAGCTTCTATTTTGTAATTAGCTAGGCCTTTTGGTATTGCTGTGCAGCTGAGTTGTATTATCCAGTTTGCATAGTTCAAAATGAGGCCTGAGTATTCAGATAAAGAGAATTAGGTTTAGGTTCACAATGTAAATTATCAGTTTTCGTTTCATGTAGTGATTATAAGCCATTCAAAAGGTAGCTGTTTCCTAGATCCCGGTTCCATTACGCGAGTGATGAGTCAGAATTTTTATCCTCTGTATATTAGTACGAAAGATCCTTCCATGGTCTATCCTTTTCCCATGGCTTAGTTCCAATACTCTTTGTTCAGACGAAGTTCTCACCAGCGTCTAAGCAAATACTAATCGATTATGTTTTTTTGGTTCTTCCATGAAAATGATGCTAGCAGCTCAATTCCAAAATTTTTATTATGACCTTTTTTTATTAAAAAAAATGACAACTGAGGGCATCCTAAAAAGTGAATACAAAATCAGAATTTTTTGTAGATTTTCAATCCTAACAGAAGGATGAATACTGGATTTGGGATTATAAGTTTTGATGAAGCCTTGATTCAGCATTAATTTTCTTGAGGTCTTTAACTGTCTTTTTTCTATGTTTTTTTTTTTTTTGGGGGGGGGGGCTTGGAAATTTGGGGTATCCCAAAGTCATAACAAACTATCTTCTACTTATGGATGACCTTCCAAAAAAGAGTGAAGAAATAAGGGAGGTCTTGAGCATTAAATTAATGACAATTAAATTTTTAACAATTTTTTTAAAAATAAGTTAAAAGTATTGATCTTAATAATTACAAATTTATAAGTTTTAATTATAAATAAATATTTAAATATTAAATGTAACTCTTAGATTGAAATAAGAATTTATGGCTATAACTACTTTCTCTATCTAAAATTATAAGGCACTTTAAAAAAAAAATTTCTGTCTCAAAATATAACATACTTTGAATATATTAAAATTTCATTAAATGTATCAATTTCAATATTACTTTTTTTTTATAATTAATTTCCATCACTTCTCTTTTCAATATATTAAATGATGGGTAATTTGAAAAGTTTATATTTTTATTTTAAAAAAATAAGGTTGTTAAGTGTATTTAATGAGATTTATTGGTATGTAAAATTTTATCCAAAAATGTCTTATAATTTAAGATGGAGGGAGTATTTGAATAGAAATTTACAATTCATTTTTTTAGAAAATTTTATTGAAGATTTAACTATCACTAATTCAATCTTGTAAAATTTAACTGTCACTTTTCCAATACATAACTACTACAAATAAATTAACTGCAAAGTAGTCCCTTCACATAGTAACAAGCCTAATATCCTCTATTAGAATAAATCATATGAATGTTTTTTTTTTAAATGGATTTTGTTAATCTATTTTTTCACTTCATTATCCGGTATCCTAGAAAATCTGGTATATTACCACCTCATATGCAGACTAATATGAATCCCTACATACACATATCTCAAATAGGTGTTAATCTACACTAACATGGCACATACACATGTCTCAAATATTACTATATGATAAAGCAAGAATAACCAATCGCAACTTTAGCAATTACAAATAAAGGGAAGATACAACTATTAATCTTATAGTTTAAATGTGTTCTGGTGTGGGTCCTTATAATTTTTTTTTTATTTTAGGTCTTTCTAGTTTAATTTATGTACAACATTAGTGCCTCTATTTTTTAATATGTCCAAAAGAAGGATGAGTTGATATTAATGATATTAAATATGATGATGGCCAATGACTATTGTCATTAATTTTTATGTTGAGATGGAATTATGCTTCAATATATTGAAACCTAAAACAGAACAAGGTAGACAATATTGTTAATATGTTAAATCATAATTCCATTCAGCACAAATTAATAGCATTGATCGCATGTTAACATGTTTAACACTACTAATATCATTTCATCGTCCTTTTGAGCATACTCCAAAATAAAGTGAGGGACTAATATTGTAAATGAAATAAATCAGATGAACTTGGAGTAATCAAAAAGTTATAAGAACCTATACCAAAACATATTAAAAATTATAAGGACTAATAATTATGTATTTTTTAAAAAATCTAACTCCATTCTGTTATTTATCGGGGAAAGAAAAATAACGGTACATACATTCTAAAGTTAATTTTAAACCAATTAATCTATCAATCTACACCTACACACACATAAATATATATTATATTCCAAAAAAAAAACGCAAAATCATTTCCAATTGAAATTCATTATTTGAACTCGTCTAGGATATTCTCTCAAGTGTATTTAAATTCTCTGTTAATGTTCGGTATTATAGATACTAAGAAAAATACGTGTAAGAAATGGCTGTTGCTATTTCTTAGTTTTGTTCTTTCATTGTCACATTATGTGATTGGAAGTCTTGAAGTTATGAGATTATTTCATACATAAATAAATTACAAATGAGTTATAGCATTGCAGATCATCAGTTCTTTCATGGTGTATAGTTTATTTTGAGAGATGAGATCTCTCAAATCTAAGAGGGCCCAAGTGTGTATCAGCAAGGAATTAAGATAGTAAACTAAGAATAGATTAAAGATAATATCTATATGACTTCAGGACATCTAAATAATATCTGTATAATTTACTGACATTATTAAGTTAAGCCTAAACACCATCAAAGTAATGGAAAATATAAGTTAAGTTAGAGAACAATTAAGCATTGATTATTATGGTAGGCATCTGAGATCACTAGGTAGAGAAACTCTGAATTCACCGCCACATCAAAAAGTTTCTTAAAATAGTATGAGCTAAAGATGTTTTACCTTGTTTTACAAATAGACTTCATGTAGACAAAATAAAACTTGACAAGTAACTCATCTTTTTTCCCAGGCTAATTAAAAGCACACTTCTGAAGCTAGCTCAGAGGATAAGGGTGAGGTGGAGTGTAGGTAGAGAACGTGAATTTAAACCTTTCCAATATATTCAAATATCAAAATGTATATATGGCAACTTTTAGCCTTTTTTTTTTTTTATACCAAGCAACATCCCGATTTCTTTACCTTTAGTTTCTTTTTCCCACCAATACACAACATTTAAAATCTCTCTCAAATATTTAAAATCCATCATTAAAAATGTAGTTTTCTCTGTTTGATTCTCCTGATTTTTTATAATCTTGTCGTCACCTGTTACGCCAAAAAATTGTCTACCACAACCCCAAAAAAAAAAAAACTTCTAGTGAACTTGTTTAACAATGTTTTTTTTTAAATGAAAAATCAATGTGATTTTAGTAGATATAAGAATTATATTAATATTGCCTGAACCAAAAAGGGAGGGATAGAGAAAAAAAAAAATCAATGTGATTTTAGTAGATATAAGAATTATATTAATATTGCCTGAACCAAAAAGGGAGGGATAGAGAAAAAAAAATAAAGATGAGTTTTAGCCATTCGTATTACTTTATACTTATTCTGCTCATATTTTCACTAATATGATGAATTTGGAATTTGGATTCTATTGCTGGATTTTGTTGAAGTTCAATCACTGTACAAACAGTTTAATGTATTTTAAGAAGTTTCAGTCTCAGCTTCAAAATGAGTTTGAGATAGATTGCACTGTTAATATATGTACACATACAGATACTTGTTTGCAGTTTTTGTCTTGATAACTTGGTAGTAACACTTCTCATACATGCTAAAAGGCTATTCACTTAATAGTGACACTTAAAAACTATTACACAGCAATTTACTAAAAGGCTTTTCACTTCTAAGACAGTCCTCAGAAACCTTAAAGACAGCTAGATCTGTAATTTATTTTACAAAGCAGGCAGAATAAGCCTGATAAATCCTACTGAATTCTCTTATAATTATGGCCTGCTTGTTAATTGTTCTATAATAATTTCGAGGGAAGAAAAATCTTAGACAGGAAAAGTATTGCTGAGAATCTCAGATCAGTACAGAGTAAAGTATTTATTGACTAAGGACTCAACAATGGCTAGCAAGTAGCAACTAACGTTTCAATGGACATAAAAACTATAGAATACCATGATATCACTAAAAATAATTACAGTCTCCCACATATGTGAAGTCAACTTGATTGTTGTCTAGTAGGCTTGACACTCAGAATGATTTTGATTTTGAAAAGATTGATGGCCAACCACGAAGCACTTGTCTTCCCCATTCAAACACTGTAACATGCATTTGAACTTCCATCTTTCTCATACTGGTTTTGGTCTTGACATCTCAAGTCATTAATTCACAAACCTGTAAACATAATGCCCATAAAAACAAAATAAGGTACAACACTTGTGGAGAAATTCTTAGGTAGGAACGGTTTAAAAATGACAAGAAAATATAACCAATTAAGAATAGAACTGTAAACATGCCAGGTACACTTTAGAGTGGAGTTCACTTCTGACATACTTATTTGTATTATCATCAGTGTCTCGATTTACTAATCTTTAATAGATTAGGTGGTGGAGAACCAGAGAGGATAACACTCAAGAATGCTCTTGAAACTCAAAAAAATTCGTTTCAATTATTTCAATCAAGGGGAGCTGATAAACCAAGGTAGGTACTCCTACAAACATATGAGCTTTAGAAGTTAGAAGTTTAACGCAAAGCACGCAAACGAATGAAGTAAGTGGTTATCTAGGATATGGACTAGCTAATGTCCAAATCCTGACAACCCAGTAAAAACATTAATCGTAATCCCTGACTAATAAAAATAATGATCCCTAGTTAGGGATTCCAATTGCAAACAATGACAGGGAATATGGATAACTAGGTATAACTAAAAGCTCTCTTTTTGCGCAACTAATATTTCACAGGTGCATGGAAGAAAATAGGTTATTGACAGAGTGGACACACTAAACATACTGAGCTGAGATCTCAAGGAGGCTCAAAATTCTGGGTGGAAAAAATTTCATTATTGTCTTAGTTTGTTCTTATCGTTCAGGCTTTCTTTGGAATATAGTTCTCTTTGCACAGCTAATATTTCAGAGGTGCATGCATGAAAAGAGGTTATCGAGTATTAACAGACTGGACAGAATAAACACACTGAACTGAGATCTTGCAGAGACTCAAAATTCCGGGTGGAAAACTATAAAAGAACTATATTCCAAAGAAAGCATGAAAAATAAGAACAAAACAAGACAATAATGAATTTTTTTGCTGACAAACAAGAAATGACAGTAAAGGTAATATAAATATACAGAACCTTCAATTGAAAAGGCCAATGTCAATTAACAAGGAAACAATGAACCAACTAATTCCCACTCATTCAAAAGGTCCATTGACTGAAAGCTGACAGTGAAGGATATTGCATCCATTGTCATATTATAACCAACTTGGAAGCTCTATAGAAGTTATTGCTTGTGTACTTAAATCTCTGGTATAAATGTTTTCGCCAATTAATTAAGCATAATAATATAGACATTATGTTTTCAGGTTATGTCATAGACGAGTTTTAACTATAATCTATCAACGTCTTCATAAAACTGCACAAGAAAAACAAAACAAAAACAAAAAGATCCAAGGAACTGAAAACTCCAGCAAAGACACTGAAAGCTCGGAGCTAGCTTTCTGTTATTCCATAAACAAGTGAAGTTTTAGGTGTAAAAAGTAGGCAAATAAAAAAGGTGTCACAATAAGTTTATGCCACCTGATATGTTGAAGGAAGGCAGACTAAAATCATTTAACAAATATTAATTGAAACGTGTAATTGTCAAGAGAGCTGCTTTATGATTCTTCAGTAATTCATTCATTTCGGGTTGAGAATTGAACCCTTGACATTAGCAAAAGATTTCAACATTCACGTCTTCGAATTCTTGGGGTAAGCCAGCCAGATTCCTCTAGTTCTCTTTTAGCTTGTAGGATTAACTTTCAGTTATGATGGGGCAGAAAAATCGTCCAAACCAGCTATCTAAAGCATAGCACACCCACAGGTTCCTTCAGACATGAAAAATTAACAAAATCATCCCAGCCCAATAGGTCATAGCATAGAGGCCAACGAACTCATTACAATCAAGTATAAGACCAACAATTAATGCGACATACCGATATCAAATATCAACTTTACAACAAGCGTTCCTCAATTTCTGTGAAATGCACAGGCGACCTATTTTTCTAAAAAAATAAATCAAGAAACAGACTAGTTTGCTCGATATAAAATTAAAAAGACCTAAAGTTGCTTACATGGAAATCAGAACACTTGCAGAACAGGTCTTTTCCCAAGTCTTTTGATCTCTCTATCCATTCCACCTGTAAGCATTAACCCAAACATCTTGAAATCACAAAGAAGTGACCAAAATGGATGTCCAAAAGTCGCCGGAACATTCCCTTCGACGAAGAAATGACTGTACCAAGCACATCCATACCCAGAGAGAGGTACAAAAACTAGGAACCACCAGCTAAATAAAATAGAGCAGAGAAAGAAGATGATACTGAAGAGTGTGCCCACAAAGTGCCAACGCCTTGTGGATGGCTTCGAATGTTGGTTCATGTAGAAAGCCCAGAAATCTTCCAAGCTTCTAAAATTCATGGCTTCCAGAGTCTCATAAGCGGACCCACTTGATTTGATTGGGAAAAACAAAACCCCAGTTAGAAATGAAGCTAAAAGATTCAGATGGTTATGAAATTTAAGGGACTGAATTGCAGAGGCTTTAGGTACTCTTGAATTCAGTAGTAGATTAGGAAGACGATGAAAATGAAGAATCTTGACGAGGTCCAGAACTGTGGACTCCGAAGTGGATATCGATGAACGTTGCGGACCTGGGCTCTTCCCCTAGAATTTATTGATCAGACTTACACGTCAAGCGTTCTGGTTGTCTTCTAGGTCTGAGCGAACATTCAATTTTCAAAGTAATTTAAAATAATTAAAATTTATTATATATATTTTTTGCCAGCATTTAAAATTAATTATATGATTCACTCTGGCTTAGAAAAATGTAATTTAAAGTGAAAACTCCCGCATAGATATCGAGTGTGTGCCACGCATGCCCCAGCGGATAAACAAGACAAAAGTAATATATTTTCTTTCTCAGGAATATTTAAAATAAAATGCATAAAAAAAATTTTGGCCTGAAACATAAATGTACCAATTGTCACTTTCCGTGAGTTGGAATTCGAATAATCGTTGTCCAGTTTTTACCTCTGTTGTTTAGTAAGAAATAAGAACATATTACTGATGTCAAAAAAGAAAAAGAAAAGAACATAATTCAAAAAATGATATAGTGTTTTTTAAAAAATATATTTGGCACATTTATTAAAAACATAACATTTTTAAAAATTATGTAAATATATATCTAATTAATTTGGAACCATACCAAAAATTAAAAATGTTGGTCATATTTTTTAAGAGATCATCATGCAAATATATTTTTTATTTTAAAATTTTACAATGTTGTTGGTTAAAAAAAAAATTACAATGTCAGTATAAAGTGTAAGATTAATTTGATAAATTGAGTCCAACATCAACATTTTTTTGTTTCACAAGAAAGTAGCATGTGTGTATCGGGTAAGTAATTTGCTTTTATTTACAAATAATGAGTGGTAACCGGTATTACAGGTTGAGAAATAAAAAAACTTATGTATTTAATCTTGCATACATAACATATTTTAAATTCAGACAAATAAATTTTAATGTATTTATAAATACATGTTGCTGTCTATGCAAACTTTATGGTTTAGGGGTATAGTGATATCGATCATGGTTGATGATCATATTAATGATTAACATTAATGATTGATATTATTTAAACTGAAAATATTTTAAAAAGTTTTATTGGAGATTAGACGTGCGGCTTCCGCAAATTTGCACAAAAAATCACTAATTTCTTATATCACCCATCAAACAATTTTTTCCCCTTACTCGGTCACAGAATCATGGTCATTCAATTCTCCTAATCATATGAACATAATGAAGAAAACAATTTGGCCCCCAAAAGAATAATGAAGAAAATCACATATAATAAAATAATGAATTAATTAATTAATTATCAATGTATCACATCTCACGCAGGTGAAGACAAGACCCAGAAAAAATATATTACATGACAAAATTGAAGTCTGCCACAAAATTCAGGGTTACAATATTTCAATGTCCAAGATAAATTTCCCTTTTGTTTATAATCACCCAGATAAGCTATATTAGTGAACTAACTGGACAATGGACATCTTGAGCAGCATAACATATATCCGAAGATGAGTAAATGAAGAATGAGATATATGGGATTGATATCAAAATAATTCAACATACACCCATATCACTAAGACATTTACTTTTTTCAAAAAAAAAAAATATATATATATATATATATATGTTGGTTTTGGTGGAGTTTGAATTAGCCAGAAGAATGACAGTTGCACCTTTCAGATAAAAAGGGTGGGGGGGTGGGGGATCATGTCTTCAGATATTAAAGTTGCAGATGGATCTTCGAACACTTCAATTTTTTATGTCAAAAAACTCTCTCGCCTGTGGCAAAAAGGTTCCAAAAGATTGTGCTCACAAAATAGAGCGCTGCTGTTACAGTTAAGAATGCTTGAAAAGATCCCAACCATTCCACAAAATAACCAGTTCCAATTGTGCTTATGATAGCTGCTAGAGTTCCAGCAGAATTTGAAATTCCTGTAATGATAATAAACATCTCAACAAATTAGCTCGTCCTAAACAAAACGACATTGTGGAAAGGAGAAAAAAATCAGAAAAGGAAAAACTACAATTTGTTCAACTTACCATGTAGGAATCCAGCATACTGTGGAGCAATGTCCTGACAAGTAAAACGTATAAGGTGAGTGTTTTGGAACTCCTATATTTGTAATGAGAGTTTATTTGAATGAATGCTCACACAGAAAATTGATAAACCAAACCAATCTAAAATAAATATCTGAATATGTCAAACTTATGTCCTCTTTATGCAAATCGAATCTTCTACAGTCAAAAGTGATCACTTATAGTACATTTAGAGAAAAATATTCCCTCCGTTAAAAAATGTAAAGCATTTTTAACCGAATCTCACCCTTCAATAAAATTGTTATTTACTTTTAAACTAACCCTATCTTGTCATGTTTACCCCTATTAAATACCCTACAATAAATATAAAGTCATTATCAATAGGGGCACTTTTGGAAAAAAGACAATGATCACACCTCAAAAGACTAAAAATGCCTTACATTTTTGAACATTCAACTTCTCAAAAAATACCTTACATTTTTAATGGGGGGAGTAGAAGTTTTTTCCTTTTCTTTTCTTTTTTTTTTTGGGGGGGGTAATGGTTGTAAAGACTAAAGAGAGAGTGAATTTCATACAACAGTCAACTTTCTTTGTGTTAACTCTTTTCAAATATATAGCCACATGATTATAGAAGATCCAATTTGCTTTTTCCGCAAACATTTTTGTAAACCAATTATAACTAAGAATCTCTATATTTTAATATGTTTAGTTATTTATGTTGGCTTGGTTTAGCTATCTTGGACAGATCAATTCTTTCCAAGAATCTATCTCTGAACTTACTTGAATATTGAGCATAAAGCCCGCCTGACTGAAATTGAGCATAAAGCCCGCCTGACTGAAGAACTCAAGCTCAAAGCTGCAGTTATGAGAATAGCAGCAGTTGCTGGTGTATTGGCATAGTTCAAGCAGAGCAAGGACAAACCTGGTCCAATGAATCCAATGGACTGTAATTTACAAGTACGGAAAAGATCAGCACACAATCTTCCAAGTTCTCTAATTGCTTTAAAATGAAAAGGTACATTTAAGATGTTCTCGGTGGTACATTGTTATTTCACATTCCATAGTTTCGTCATGATTTTTTCCTTGACGGCATATCATTGTTTCAGGGTCAGTTTGTCAAACACAAGTTGATTATTACAGTTTCCATGTAAAACCTGCACTTTTTAAGTCCTTTAGTATGAGGTTGCTAAAGCATTACCTGCATGAACTTTCGGACAAATGTTAGATGGTACCCTTCCTTGATCAAGGAGTCTGATGTTGCACCAGCTATATAACCTGAAATCGCCATTGTTGCCCATGGAACTGCACTAAACCAGGCTGCCTGCTTCAAGTTTACATTATATACCTATATGTAGAAACAGATTAACTATGTATCTTTGGTAGGTGATGCTAAATACATTTAAAAAGGAAAAAAACAGAGAACTAATGACAAAAGACTGAGGAGATGATTACACTTTTGAAGTAAACTGGCATCCATGAAAGGAGAACAAAGTAACCCTGCAAGTGACCTTGTCAACATCAGCACTGCCAAATTATATTGTATCCACAAGAACACACTAGTATTAACCTTGAAGAAAAGGAATAGAACCCACCCAGTTGTTCGTTGCATTGGCAAAAATGATAGCCCAAGATGGTAATTTAGATAGCAAAAGGCGCAAGGGAGGGAACTTGGTACTTTGTTTGGAAGAACCCGTGGTTTTTCCAGCTTGGATTAGTCTTAGCTCCGATCTACTGATGAAATGACTGTCTTGAGGATCATTGGTGACTCGGTATGCCCATGTCAACACCCAGAGAAAGCCAATAGATGAGAACAAAAGAAAAGGACCGGAAATCCCAGTGGACGACAGCATAATTGGGGTTAGCAACAAGCCTATGACATTTCCAAGATGAAATCCAGCCATTGAAATGCCAACGGCACTTGCCCTTTCATGACTTGGAAACCACCTATGTTCACATTTGAAGATCAAGTCATCTCTCAATATGTAAGAAAGCTGACAAACATGAACACTCTTGTATACCATAAGAGAAATTGTAAACAAATGGGAAGCCGCAATACGCAAAATTTATATGATGAAGCAATGTCGGTTTTAAAGACAGAATAGGATGAGGAAGAGGATGAAGAAGGAAGCATCACCTTGATAAGAGAGTGGTCATGGAGGGAAGAGCTACTCCTTCAGCGAGTCCAAAGAAAGCTCGAGCCATCAATAAGGAAAATGTGGAGTGATTGGCAGCCCAAGGAGTAATAAAAGTGGCCAAAGACCACAAAAGCACTCCCCAACCCATCACACTTTTTCCTCCATATCTGTCTACCAGAGCTCCTCCTATCACTGACGACAATATGTATCCCCACAGGAATGATGACTTGACATCATCCATTTTTTTTTTTTATTTTGGGTTTTCATGTTAGCCACTAAGCTCATTTCATTGTTAAAATGGCAAAGTTATTTCTAAGAATGCAACAACAACTGAGGAAATAAATGAAGAAATGCACTGCTTGACGGTGGTGCTTCGTGTGCAGAACAGTGAATTCTCAAGAACATTACGCATTTGAATGAAATCAATCAATATATTGATCTAAAGTATTAAATCTATCAAGTCTCCTATAGTCCTATTCACCAGTTATATATAATACTCCACATTTTAGTTGAAGCTTTTAGGAGTCGTTTATCTGAGACCAAAAAAAAAAAAAAAAAGGACACATGTTTTGGTACTAGATGAAGTTTGTGTTGGATATAGAATGAAAATAATAAAAAAAAATTATTTTTATCTTATAAATAAAATGTAACTTTAGGAGGTTTTGTTTTTTGTTATGATGTGTATAAATAATAGTGTGAATCTAGGTAAAGTATAATACTACCCACTAATTTCAAAAATTTTATTCTTTTTTGATTATTTTTATTGAGGTTCGTCCGCGGCTTCATAACTCCAGCACTTCGATTCTTTGATGAGCAAAAACCAACCAAAAGAAGCCAAAACACAACCAACAAAAAATAGAGAACAGAGAAAAGCACAACAGCCTCATACTTGAACGACGCCGAGGAAAGAACTGGACCATCCATGTCTGGCAGCGAGAGGTACGACAGCAACGGACATCACGACCCTGTCAGCATTGCAGAGACACATTACACAAGCCACCAAAAACGCCACCTTGTGCCTCTCCGGCATTGTCCTCACTCCCCCTCCTTCTCTCCTCACCATTCCTCCTTCTACCCCCTCCGCCGTGCACCTCGCCGGCGCCGCCCATTGCCGCCTTGTTCCACTCTCACCACGCTCTGTTCCTGCTCTTCTGCTTCTCCTGACATCTCTTATGGATAAGGGCTTTTCCGAGATTCTGGAGGCGAATCGTAACTGAGTATTTCGAAAATACGTTAAATCGGAAGGGGGAGAAAAGAGAGAAGAAGAAGGTGAGGAATGTGATAGGAACTGTGTGGAGCTTGTAGCCGCCATGAAAGACGGAAGAAAAAATTCAGAGACGCAGACACATGGAATTTGAAAATGGAGATTTGGAGAATGTTGACGAGGTATGTCTTATGATGGAAGCATGGGAAAATCCCTGCGTATCTTTAGTTGGTAGCTGAGCTTTTCGTTGGATGATCCCTGCCTACTGCAGATTGAACTCCAAAGAAAAGAAAGAAACGGAAAGTAGTTTCTTCTGGGTTGGTGGGAAAAAGAAGGGCACGGAAGAATTGAAAGCAAGCAAACGAAAACATCATTTATATAAAAATGACAACAACTTTTATTGCAGCATATATAGTAAATATTTCTAATAAATGTAAAATTGTGTCTCATTTCTCTCATTCAATCCCGTGGAGTATACGGAAGGTGGGCCTGACTACTTGTAGGATTAGAGTTTAGCGCTTCAATTACTTTTAAATCCTCTAAATTACATATGGACAAGTGGAGAAAAATATTATTTTTTATCCATCCTACTTATGTTAAAAATGAAGATGCAATTTTAATCAATCATTATTTTAGATACTTAATGGATGTTATTTTTTTATAAAGTATTTATTTGTAATTTTATGAGTTTTTTAAATAATTTTTAGGTTTTTTTATAATTTTTCAACCAAAAATTAAAGCTAACTTTTTTAATAGTAAGATGTTTAATGTATCATTTTCAAATATTGATAGGCAAAATTGTACCACATGTCTTGAGTGAGACACAAATACCCTTTAATCTTTAACAAAAATTATAACTTTGAATTTTGCATTTGCTTGAGTTTTATTTTAAGTTCTTGCACTTTTTTAATATTTTAAGTTTCTATATTTTTATTTTTTGGTGATTTAAAACATAAAAAAATAAAAGTGTGGGGACATACAATATTAAAAAAATACAAGAACCTATAGTAAAATTTAAATAAAGTAAAAAAAACTCAAAGTTATATTTTTTTTCTATTTTTATTTATATAGCTACATTTTAATACGTTATTTATACGCCGGACATTGTTTGGAAAAAGAAGTATTAAGGGAAATGGATTTCCCTCATAGTCAAAAAGAGGAAATATAATGAGGAAAATTAGGATCGCACCTTCATTTTTCATTGGATCCATTTTTTTTTTTCTTTGTATACAATGCTAGATCTATTTCTTTTTATCTCTTTTATTATTGGGGAAAAATCTACACTCATGCGTTTTTAGTGCAAATCTACATTCAATGTTAACTGATCAATGAAACAAGATTTTGTTTTCGTTATTATTTTTTTTTATTGCTAGATTTTGTTTTCGTTATATTCTTTCACAATTATCCATTTTATTGATGTTGATATTTTTATGGATAAATAAATGGGCAAGTGCTACTAATAATAGTCAACCTAGGAATGCTAAAGATAGTAAAATTATAAATATTAGTCAAATAATTAAAAACAAAATCTCCATTCAAAATATCAATTTGCATTAAGTACATCCTTATTACTATTTATTGAGAAACTTTATTTATTTCCATTTGTCAGGTTTTTTCACTAGAAAATCCATTTAAAATGTCAACTTTAATATGAACAAGATTATTAATCCTTATTCTCATCTATTTATCGTTTTATGACACTTCTCTATCTATTACTCACATCACTCTATGAATATGTGATCTCATTTTAATTTATTTTATTTTCTATTAACTCAGTCTATTTATTTATATTTTTTCCACAACTAAACAGAGGTTTATTAGTCAGGTTATTGCATACTAGTAACTAAACTTTATTTATTTATTTTTTTATACACAAAGAGAAACTTCATTTTTGGTGGAGGTAATTGCGTACTTTCAGTGCAATGCCTTTTTTAATTATAACTTATAATTCAGGCGTGTTGAGTTTATTTGGATCATATTTAATTCAGGCTAAGTCTATTTAGATTCGGTTTAAAGTATCTTGATCTTTTAAAAAATTTTATATAATTAAGTTAAATCCTAACTTTTTTCGACCAAATTCAGATTGACTTATTAAGCTTAGCTAAAATTACCAACTATATATATATATATAGTTAAAAATTATAATTATTGGACTTAATTCAAACCGTTTATTTAAATCAAATTTAAAATATCTTACCGTCTTGTAAAAGTCTATATAACCAAGCTTAATTTTAATTTTTTTTAAATAAATTTAGATTCGTTCGTTGGATTTGACCTCAAATTACCAACTCAATTCTTACTGGTTAAAAGATTGAGATGCGAAAATGGGTCTGGAAGAAAGCACTAAGCAGTCAAGTCTCCAACAACCCAATCCGGATTTTCTCGTCTTCCCAGCAAAGACACGAGAAAACGAATGCTACAGTATGTTTGGACATCATTGTTAAGATTGTAGAAGTCAGGGCAAATCTCGCAATTCCGAGAGATATTTTTCAGGTATTAACAGATTACTATTTACTAATAAATTTGTGTATTTTATGTTGATAAAAAATTGGAGGAGGTGGAGGAGTAACAATAATAATTATGATATTCACGATATATTTATATATGACGTCTGACAGCCTAACAAAGTTTTCTTTAATAAAGGATAGTGTGTGCGATAAAAACTATATATATTAGATTTAAATTTAAAAGAAATGTCTATAATAATAAAATAACATTTTCATGAACAAATAATATGTATCCTAAAGATTATAAAATAAATTATATTTAAAAATTAAAAATAATTTATTTTTATATTGATTTATTTAAATAATTAAATAATTTAAAATTTGAAAATACTTTAATTCATATATTAATTTTTCAAAATATTTTAATCCGTACATTTGTTTTTAACCCTCAAACGTGTAGATGCGTGCTCCCAACAACCCCCAGCCACCTACTGCCGATGCTGCCAGCAGTGGAATGCTAAATAATAAAAAAATATATTAAAAAAATAATAAGTCAACTGTTCAAGTGGCAATTTATTTATTTAGAGATTAACGAGCAAAATGAATCATGAAATATTATGTAAAAAGCATCTTAAATCTTAAACTCTTAAAATATATGAAATAGATCCTAAATTTTTAAATTCATAGTAAATTAAACTCTACTAGTAACTTTTTTAATATCATTACTGTTCATTTATTAATTAAAGCCATAGACCCTAAACTATTACTCGAGTAATATTTTGAATCCTAAATTTTAAAATTTTGAGCAAATTACTCTCATCGTTTATACATAGAATATTAACTATTATGTAGGTCAAATTAGTATCAGCATAGTCCGTCGCAATGAACGTATCATTGGTCATAGCAAATGACCCATAATTTGGTGAAATGATATTTTTATTCGTGTTTTTTGCAATGGTTTCTAAACGATTGGTATATTATGCTTCTGTATATTTTATAACTCTAATTTAATTTTATTTTAAATAATATTTATTTATTTAGTGGTTAAAACTTGGGATTTCATTGAAAAAAGAAGTTTAAGTATTAAATGATTTTACAAATTATGGATGTGAAAGCCAACAATTTCATTAACGAATTTTAAATCCAAATTAATCAGTTAATTAAAATTTTCTAATATTTAAACTTCTTTTTCAACGAGATTCTAAGTTTTAACTATTAAATAAATAAGTATTATTTAAAATAAATTAAATTAGAGTTATACAATATATGGAATCATGGGGTACCAATTATTTGAAAAACATTGCAAAAAAAAGGTAAAAATGTCATTTCACAAAATTATAAATTATTCACCACGGCCAACGATATGTTAATCATGGCGAATCATGTGAGGCTAATTTGATCTACGTAATAGTCAATGTTTTATACATAAATGGTGGAGGTAATTTACTTAAAATTTTAAAGTTTATGGTCCAAGACTTTACTCATATAATAGTTTGAGATTTGTAGTGCTAATTAATAAATGAACAATAATGGCGTTGAAAAAAGTTAACAATGAGATTTAATTTGTCATGAATTTAAAAGTTTAGGATCCATTTTGATACATTTTATGAATTCAAGGTCTAAGGTATTTTTTGCATAATATTTTAAAATTTATCTTGTTCATTAACCCTTTATTTAAAATATGTAGATGCATTGCTCGTGTATAAATTATAAAAATTAGTTGTAGTATTTATAATTTTATAATAATATGATTTGTTAATTTCTAATATCTTGTATGAATAATATATACGCACACATGACACGTTAGAGTAAAAATTTTAAATGCATAATAGTATCCATCAGACTCGTCAACACAAAATTATCAAAAAAATTCATCAAGATGATGTAATAAAATGATTTTTTGTCAAATTATTTATTAAATATTTTCAATATCGGGGGTTATTTTTATTAATTTATTAAAAATCAAAGTGTTGAGATTTTGGTTGCAGAATTCAACGTCGTAGATACAAGTAAATGGATTTAAGTTTTGTCCAAACAAATTATTGGGTTCATAAGCTTATCTTGACTTTACAAAATATACCAAACCTAACTAATTAATTAAAATAACATTTAAAAAGGATTAGGAAAGGATGACTTCTATTTTTTTTTATTGACTGAATTTGTTTTTGTCAAATGTTTTCGTTAAACACTATGTTTTGAGATTATAACTATAGTAAATTACAAGTTTTTTTCTGGCCCAAAAAAAGTTACAAGCTTTTTTTATGAGCGAGTGACCAGTCTATATCATGCTAGGAAAGAAAAGTTCATTTGGTTAAGATTGAAGAGAATATTCTATTTTGTTTTAGTTGCATGATTACATGATAAAGTTTAAAGTTCTATTTAATACTAAATATAAGACAAAGATATACTAGTAGTTAATTTATTTTTTCTATATTGCCTTCCATTAATTGCACTAAGTTGTTGGTAAATTTTTAATTCTTATATATATTTTATTATGGTTATTAATTTCAATGAATGAGTGAAATTGGAAAGTCTCACAATTTTTTTAATTTAAAATATTAATTATCATTTTTTAAAAATCATGAAGTTAGTTAATTTATTTTACTATATAATTCCAAGGGAGCATACAAGAAGGGGGGAAATGTGATAGATTCTCATCCTATCCTATTATATTATACTTTAATTACTGCTCTATTTCATTTCAAGGTAAAGGAGTGAACATTAACGTTTTCAAAATAAAATTGTATATTGAACCAAAAAGGTTAGCGGTCCACGATTTGCATAGTCCAATACAATGGTCAAATTGCATTGGACTAATGGTTAAACCAATTACATAATAATTAAATTAAAAATTATACATGTATATAATAATCTAAATATAATAAATAAATATAAAATTGTTACTTAAATTAAAAATAAAATTAAATATTTTAAGTTTATCGTGACTTAATAAATTATATGATACAACATACCATCAAATAATTAAAAAAATTGATCATTTTCTAAAAAAAATAAAAAAAGGAAAATAGTATTTTTTTGAATAGTTCAATTTTTGAAAATCGAATTCGATTCCCGGTTTGATCGTCGGTCCAAAATAGTCCAATTCAACTCAACTCTTCAAACGATTTTTTTAGCTTGACCGAGCCATTGACCTAATCGATCAATGGTTTAATCGTTCGGTTCAATTCAGTTTTTTAATCATTGATAAAAATACTCATAAAGTTATTTGTTGGGAGCATTCAATAGCTTAAAGTGAGAAAAAGGACAGAAATACCTATAACATTATTTTAATGAAGACAAAAGCAATCAAACTGTTAACTATCACTAACTTCTATTAATTTTCAACATTAAGCGTTGAAATAGAAAAAATGACATGGACCTGTGTTCATGTTGAACATGTTCTTCAACTTCCAAAGAGAGAATGCGGTGAAGCAGGCTTGCTGGAGCAGAACGGGATGATGCATTTCGAGGCCAGAGACTCAAGGGCGAAGGAGTACTTGAGCTTGTTGAAGTCCAATAATCTCGTTAAATTCAACATTGTTGACATCTTGGGGATTCATCAGCCACATCATCACTTACCAAGATCCATTGAAGAAGAAGGGACATGTCATATTAAGTCTTGGGAGGGGAGCGTTCCATAGGAAGGTATGAACCAAGTAAAATAATGAAGACTTCATACCGGTAATCAATAGAAGCGGGGCCTTCAACATTCAAACTGCTAAGAGCAAAAGCTTCTAGAAGAGGATGAAAGAGGAGGTAGGTGGATATTCTCTGAGAAACCCAGAATTTGCGATGCCATTAAAGGAATAAGCCGAGACTCATAAACCAAAGAGCAAAGTATTTGAAGATGGGAATGCTAGCGACAACTTCACATACCTCGAGAGCCTTCTAAAACAAGTAGCTTTCGAAGCCATGACTCTAATTTCTAGAATTGGTTCTACTTTGCATCCCCAATTCCCAAACTTAAGCTGAGTGAGTCGAGGAATGGAGAGTTGAGCGTCACTGCTAATCTTAGAGAGAGAGACTAAGTGAGGATCTTTGGCCTCCACGAAAGCAAGGAACTCGAGGCAAGGGTCAACACTCAACAAAGTAAAAGCCAGGAACTCGAGGCCGAGCTCGAAGTGCCTCACGAGGGATACTTGAGGAGACCAGGTTTCAATTTGATTTAGATTCCAAGATTCGAGTAAATGCTGACGCTAAACTGAAGATCATTGAGGAATTCGGAAGATTTCAGGAGAGGCTGAGACGATGAGGGGTGGTTTGAGGAGACAGACTGAGGATTGAGGAGTCAACCATCGAGAGACTAGAGAGGCGAGAACCTGCTAAGCTAAATTAGTGTCAAAATATTCACACCATATTTTCTATCCTACCTGGCAAAGAGAAAGGGGTTTAACATTGAAAATTAAAGAAGGTTAATGAGAGTTAACACTTTAGCCACTCTTGTCTCTACCAAAATAACATTATGGCATTCTTGTTATTTTTCTTACTTTAAATTATTGGATACTCATAACTAATAATTTTATGGACATTTTTGTTTCATTACCCTTCATTCTATTATAAGCTCTCAAACATTTTTTTTATTTTAAAAAAAATACTCTTTTTATATATGGAAAGAACTATATGCAAATTCTCCACAACATATTTAAATATCATAAGGTTTATTAATAACTTAACATATCAAATTAATAACTAATTCTCCTACCTGTTTTTTAAAAAAGAAATTAAAATATATCAATAATGAGATAAATATGTTTTTCTTTTTGGCCAAAGGTGCATCATATTAATGCCAAAAGACAGAGAGTATAGCAAAAAGGAGCAACCAAAAAAATAAGGCAGAAAAAAAGAAGAGAGCAAAAAAATAATAATAATAATGCAACAGCAGCGGAAACAAAGGCAAGAAAAATCAACCAATGCCATCTCGATTTTGTGGAGCCTAAGAGCATATTAACGATTTAAAAATGCCTGCAACATCTCTGACTAGAAGAGAAAACAAAGAAGGTGGTGGTGTGTGAACCCATACGATCAGACCCACCTTCTTGTGTGCAGAAGCAGTTATGAAGTCTGTTACACAATTGTCTTTAAGTGAAACAGAGGAGAGAAAAAAACCAACCTTTGACCCCATAAGCGTTGAGATATCGTTAGTGATGCTGTTGCTCTACCGTTCGCCCAGACTTTGTTGATCTTTTTGGATAAACCGTGCTAGATTAAGGCAATTACCTTTAAAGATAATTTTATTATAGTTTAAATTCTTGGCCAATAAGAGTGCTCGCTTTAAAGCTAAAATCTCTGCCATAGAAGCTGAGACTGATTTGATTCTAATAATTACGTACAATTTCAATGGTTGTTGCACCATCGATTGAAAGAAAGGCAGTATCACTGTTGATTTTTAAGAAGTCGTTAGGAGGAAGAGTTTGTATGGATCTCTATTATGCTGCTCTTGCTCTTTATTGTGACGAGGACCTAATTTGATTGCCTTCCATTGTTTATGTAAAGAAGATTTTTCCATATCAATCACACAGGTAGGACTAGGGTTTTTGTGATTAAAAACTTTAGATAAATATGTTTTTCATTCTTTATCTACTAAATGGTAGATTAATTTTTAAAAGTTAAAAAAAAAATTTATCAACAACTCAAACTTTAAGGTGGTTACGGTTATTTTTAAGAAAAAAAAATAAAAAATTAGACCTGGTGGTATATTTGAATTTAGGAGAATGATAGTTAGATCTTAACCACAATTAAATTTTCAATATTGTTTTTAAAAATAAGTTTAAAATTTTGATTCAAACGATTATAAATTTAAAATTTTTAATTATAAATAAATATTTAAGTATTAAATATAAATTTTATATCCTAAAAAATTTTTTAAATGATTTAAATTAATATTTATAATTTAATTTTTAAAAAAAATTATAAAATCTAATTATTATTAATTTTACTGTTGGATCTAATTATCACTGTCATTTTCCCTTAAAGTTTGGATTGACCGTGCTATCCGTCAGGCGACTTGGGAATCGTAACGGTCGTTTGAAGATTGAACTTGGAAGCCTGTCACTTGTATTTGCCCAAATTTCCCGCTTATCTCTCAAAGCACTACAGTGTCAGTGAGCTCATCTCGAAGGTTCAAGCCATTTCTTAATTAGGGCTTCTTTTGTCCTGTAATCAGAATGAAGCCAAGTCGCAAGCTCAAGAGAGACGATAATTCATCAAAGGTGAGGTTCCGAGCGAACAAGTCGCATTGCGTTTCAAAACCTTAAATTGAACCCTACTACTGTTTGATTTCCGAGAAAGACGAGCTAGTTGAAAATAGTATTTGTATATTTGTATATTGAATGAGCAATGATGTTCCTTTTCAGCTATTTTTCTCATCTGTCAAATTATGTCTAGTTTAACATCCAAATAAATTGTCCTATTTATATTATTTATGTTTGAGTTTTTCAGCTGGTTTTGGAGGAGATTATTGGATTGACGACCAAGGATAGCAATGGATTGGCTTCCAATATCTCGACATCCACAATTGCCTATTTGGCGGGTTCCGTGGTGGTTGTTTATAATGTCAATTTGGGTACTCAGTCGCCCCTCATGGTGTCTCATCGACCGCCAAAGCGTTTGAGCTGTGTAGCTTTATCACAGGACGGACACTTTATTGCAGCTGGAGAGGTATTAATATATTTTTAAAAATTAGCATCATAAGAAGCCCTAGAGTCTAGACCCCACATGTAAAATAACTTCATCTTGTTGCAAGTGATAGTACGTGGAAGGTTTGTCTTAAAACATGAAATGTAATCATTATTATGTATAACTTCTGAGTGGACGTTGACTGTTCTTTGCTCAGTGATGTTTTACTCAGACCAATAGAAACCTTGATGAATAAGAGGAATCATTGAAGCAATCTTCAGGCACTTAAATTTTCCATCCACACTGATTTCGTCACAGTTTATTCTCAAGGATGGAATTGTCAAGTGTTACAATTACACTCGAACAGGCATGTCCATTATTTTTAGTAACTTACTTAGAAACAAGATAAATAATGGTGAAACTCAAAAATTTAAACACAAGGTAATATTCCGCATTTACAGGCTTGCATCTGATGCGAGTTAGATATAACTATGCCCCCCTGATTTATTGGTGATTTTGCTCGTGACAAAACCTTTCCTTTTCTATGTTAATAGTGACGATGAGTTTTCTGAATAATACATGATGGCTTCATTAATGACACTCTGATCTGACAACAATTTAACTGGGTTTGCAGGCAGGGCGCCACTCCTCTGTAATAGTATGGGATTCTGTTAATTTATCCTTTATCTCTGAACTAAAAGGTCATCTATATGGAGTTGCTTGCATCTCTTTCTCACCCAATGGTTAGTTACGATTTAACGATTTCTACATTTTCCTTGATTCATATTTTGTGTTCTTTCTTACTTATTCTATAATATCTTTCCCAGGTAAACACCTGGTATCTGTTGGGGTGTATATACACCTTTGGGACTTTCGAAGTGGTGAGCTGGTTACAAAGCTTCAAGCAACTTCATCTTGTTCTAGTATCACAAGTGTTGGCTTTTCTTTGGATGCAAAAGTTATTGTAACTGCTGGGAAAAGGCACTTGAAATTGTGGGCTCTTGGATCATCTAGGAGGACTCAACTGAATGGAGGGATGGGCAGGACGACATCACTGGCAATACATGCAAAGCCTGCCAACCTTGCTATTCAAAGAGGAAGCTCATTTATATCCATTGCTTCTTCTGTATGGAGCAATAATTTCAAACAAGCGGGTGATAGTTTTCCCCTTTATGCATTAACTGATGCAGGTTTGATTCAGTTCAGAACTACTCTAAGATTGATATGTCTTGTCCTTTGGACTTTTAAACAATTAGTATATCTTGCATAAGATCTGCTGATTCTCTCTCTGTTCACAGGAATTTTGCACCTTATAGATTCTGGATTGGCCGTCAAAAAGTCAGTGGATTTAAAGGTGTTTCAACTCTTATCATTTACATAAAATTAAGCATGTCTTACTGTGTATTTCCATTATGGAAGTTTTGACAGATATAATGTTTAGTTGTTTCTTTGATTTGGATAGACTAAAAACTAGATGACCATGGTGAAGTAACAGTTCTAAGAGTCTGTTTAGCTTGTCACAGGATTTCTGGTTTTTTAAGAATTTTTTTTCCAAGAAGAATTATTGCAAAGAAGTGATTTACAGTTGACCAAATCTATTGATAACCTGTTTTAGCAATGTTAATAACATATGTGACAATTTTTGTAACAATGATTTATTTAAGTGGTTATTTTTGTCAAAGTTAAAAGACTCTACTTCTGGTTTTGCTTTATACCAAAAGTTCCAGTTCCTTCCTTTCCACCCATTGCTAAAACATAAACCTGCTGCACCATAGTTGTGGCATTTTGTGGTGGTCAAACATGCAGAAAGTAAAAAAGTGTTTTTATCCCTTGAGTGGCATGGTCCAGCAGGCACCAGAGTTTTGGCAAAACCAAAAGGCACCGGTGTTTCAAGACATCATTATGTAGGTTCTAGGCTACATTTGGTACATGGAAAAAGAATTTGAGGAGAGTGAAAACGTTCTAGGCTACATTTGGTACATGGAAAAAGGATTTGAGGAGAGTGAAAAGGTGAGGGGATGTTTAGTTGGGTATGGTAGATGGCAGAATGACTTACTTGAAAAGAGACCTTCCCATGTTTTGGGGGGGGGTTTTCCGTTCTCATTCCCTTTCCTATTCCCATTTTTTACTAAATGAGCCCCTAAAATAGGGGAAAACTGATGCTTTGGCTTAACAGCTTGATGTTTCCTGATATTAACTTGGAGCAGATGAAGTTTTATTTCTGTTTGACTCTGAATAGTCAGAATCAGGCAAAGAAACAATCTTCATCTCTGATACTTGATACATTTAAATACTTTAAATTGCTTGAAGTTATTGGCTGTGGCAGCTGAATCTTCAAATTTTTCTTGTCATTGTCAATTGTACTAGATTAAAATTGTTATAAGTAGTTATGGGAACGCTTCAGGTGACCTTTTCTTCATTTTCTCTTATAATGTCACTATATATTTCAGGTAAAAAAAGCTTTTGCATTATCAACATCAAGAAAGCTAATTGCTTGTGCGTGCAACGATGGAATAGTCCAATTCTTTTCCCCCGAGTCTCTAGAATATGCTGGAAGCATATTATATTCACAGGAAAAAAGGTTTCATGATGAAAAAGATATAGTTAGCTATGATGAAGTTGCTAAGCGGGACTTTCAACAGTTGCCTGCCCTGCCAGATGCAGTTGCATGTCAGTTTTCAGCCTTAGAAAAGCTTGGTGAGCATTCAAAATTGTACTTGTTTTGATAATCACACATGTCATAACCTTCTGCCTTAAAAATATTCTCCATATTGCACTACAGTGGTTATTTATGGGGATCATACTCTATACATTTGGAGCATCCATGATGTGCATCAGGTAATTGGTTTTTGTGGTATTTATGTCCATATGTTTGGTAAATTTTGTCATCTATGCACATTAAGTTACAGCTACTAAAGCCTCCCCTCCCACAAAAAATAGTGATTTGCAAGAAAAATTTCAATGTTTTCCAGGCTGCAAGGTTTTGTGTGCTAGTTTCACATTCCTCATGTATATGGGATGTCAAAAATCTATGTTGTGAAAACATGCATGATCCATCCCTTGCATGCATTGCTAGAGGTTGTTCTGGTGGAATTTCATTTGCAACATGCTCTGCTGATGGTACAATAAGGCTATGGGATCTTGCTTTGCAATCTGATTTACCAAAAGACACTGCAGAGCATCACTCTATAAAGGCTGAATTAACAAGTTCTTCAAGTTTAGGTAATACGGCCAATTCACTTTCCTTCTGTTTAGGCTCTCACATTGAAGACTGCCTGCCTGCAATATGTTTTTATATTTTTCTACTCATGTTTCATCTTTCCCCTTTCTTGTTGCAGTAACTACTGGGACTTTTGAACATGAAGCAGTTGAAGCAGATGTTGGCAGGAAAGGGTTTCGGTCTCTTGCTGTTAGTACAGATGGAAAGTATCTTGCTGCTGGTGATTGTGAAGGAAACCTTCATATATACAACCTTGAAACATCAGATTACACGTGCATTCAGGTGAACTGAGGTGCCCAAATGTTTTTGCAGAAGGACCAAAACTACTGAGCTGTAAAATGCTATATGATGACATTCTGTTTTCCCCCTCTCCTGTTAATGGTCATTTATGCAAACTTTTAAAGAGTAAAGATTGGCTGTTCTTTCAGAGTGCTCATGGGGCAGAGATCCTTGCACTGAGCTTTACTTTATGCGGCCAAGACATATGTGAAGAAATTGCCAAAAACAGTTGCTATCTTGCTTCGGGGGGTAGGGATTGTATAATTAATCTCTATGATGTAGAAAGGTATGTCTTGTAAGTGTTTTAGTTATCTAAGTGATTGATGATCATCAAATGACTGTCTGTATGTTGCACATGGCAGAAATTTCAATCTCATTGACAGTATTGATGATCATTCAGCTGCTGTGACTTCTATAACAATTACAAGCAACAACTGCAAGATCCTCAGTTGTGGTGCTGATAGGTATGCTGGTACTGGTTTGTCCTTTTGTTGGCGCGGGGGCATAATGCAAGTTTCTCTTCACAGAGATTATAATAGAGTTTGTCTTCACATATATCATAATGACTTTGAAAAGTTAATAAGAAGGACTAAAGTGGACTGTGTAAGCTTTTGCAATTTTCATGTTGACAATTCTGAGGCTGACAATGTTCAGTTTTTGTTTAAAAGAAGTTTGAACATTAGCAATCTGTTGAGATTATAGTTAGAAAATACTGCCTAATCAATACCAACAGTAAGTACTATTGTAGTCGACATTTGATGCAATGTTTGCATCAGTTAAATTGTGCAAGTTACAAGCCTGCAATTTTTTTTGTTTTTGCTTTTCTTTATTTCATTTGTTTAGCAGCTGAATCATATCAAAATGTAATGAGTGGCTTGTTGTGTAGTCAATGAGACTGAAGTGAAAGAAATTTATGATTTATTTGTGCGGCCCACCTACCTTACAACAGTCTGATGCTGCTTTTAGCATCAGTTTCACATTTCAAGATCATATATCTATGAACATCAGGGTTGTAATTTTTTTTTATTGGCCTGGAAACAGTTTCCCTCAGAATGGATTTGAAAACTATTTTATATTTCTTATTTATTGGTTTAGAATGAACAATAAATATCTGACTCTGATTCATCATGTTTCTTTTTTACCCTGAATTTCAAGAGAATCAACAGTATATTAGAATGTTGCCACAATAAGGAGTCAACCCTACTTTGTCATTTTTTGACATTGAATGGTTCCCTTTGTTTCATGCTTCTAGTTCGCTGGTGCTTCGTGACATTCGGATAGCAGATTCTGGTTATAAAATTTTGCAGCATCATAGTTTAAAGGCTTCGCGTGGAACTGTTTATGACATGGCTGCAGATCCAAGATTGGGGATTGTAATCACAGTTGGGCAGGTAATATGGGTAATGGTAAACAGAAGTTACTATTCATGCTCACTGGTGACTTAAAAGATGATCCAAAAAGCATAAAACATTCAGTCCACCTAATTCTATATGAGCACACTTTTTCAAAGAAGCTTTTGATCGTAATTACATAATGCTATTGCTTGAAGTTACTGATTTTATTTTCCTAATCGTAGGATAAGAAGATAAACACATTTGACATCGCTGATCGAAAGCTAATTAGGTCATACAAGCAAGATAAAGATTTTGGAGACCCTATAAAGGTGAGTTATATGGTCGGAAGCGGATTACGAAATGTGAAAATTCTGTTTTGCTGGGAATTAATTATGTTTACAGGTTACAATGGATCCAAGTGGCACTTATGTGGTCTGCTCATCCTCTAACAAGTCCCTCTGCATATACGACATTTTCACGGGGGAGATGGTTGCAAATGCCATGGGACATGCTGAAGTTGTAACTGGCATCATCTTCTTGCCTGATTGCAAGCATATAGTTTCTGTAAGATTTTTTCATGCTTGACTTTCATTTCTTGTAGCCCTATTTTAGAAAACTGTATGCAATATCTAAGAGTTGTCTGTTTTCAATTTTCTCAAAGAAATTAACTGTGCTTACGTTTAAAGACGTATAACATTGAAGTGTCACATGCCAAAAGAAAGCGCATACTTTTAGCCTTCAGGTCTTATGGATCCATGGTTAAGTTTAATCATCTAGAACATCAAAGCATGATATTGGAGAAGTGAAATAGCAACATGTGCTTCAGGACTTCAATGATTAAATTTAATCACTTATCAAAGCATGATGTTGGAGAAGGAAAGAGAAAGATGTGCTTGGAGGCTTCAAGATACCACTTCCAAGATTATCAACATTTCATCCTTAATGTATTCCAAAAAAATCATCCTTAAAATTGATGTAATTTGACTTTTGACTGCAACTAGGAGTTCAGAAGTACCGCAATTCTAGTCTTCTCCTGCAAAGTACTCTCTAGTTTATTTAATCTGTTCTTGAATAACAGCATTACCGTATTCTCTTTCTGGCATAGCAATGTCAATGTAAAGGAAAAGTTCATTTCAGAGTAAATATGGCTCTTGTTTCTTAACAGTTAATGTTCCCTTTTTATGGGTCATTGAAAAGACACACCTTGTAGACAGAGTTTTTAGGCAGTACAATTTGACATTTTTTTCGGGTATTCATGGCTTTATATGTGAAGTACGGCTTTGCTTTTGACATGTGTTTGCAGATGTGAGCTAAATGCGTTTGCTAGAGTGATAAAACACTCGATAAAATTTTCACAAATAATGAAGTTCTCCCACTTGAACATGCATATTTTAGACCAAAAATTAATTAATTAATTAAAGATGCCTTTCCGATGCAAATTGCTTTTCTATTGTTTTCGACTCTATCTAAATAGCTTTTTCCTGTCACCATGATAGAAAAAAGAAGGTTGTCAATCTCTTCTTGTAGCCAACTATGCTTTTTTATTAATGCGTTCAGGTAGATGGTTATGGTTGTGTTTTCCTGTGGAAATTGCCTGCTTCTTTGTCTTCTAAAATACTGGAGAATATAATGAAGAAAAGTAATTCATTGTCTCCAAGAAGCTTAGCTCAATCTGCTACTTTTTGCCGTCCACGATCCTATGGAGAGCAGTTGCAGCAATCTAATATCAATCCTGAGGATGTCTGGTCACTGGGGAACAATGGCCAAGGTAGCAAGAGAATGTCTTATCCAGGAAGCAGTTATAGAGAGGCTAAAGCTTTTAAATTTAGTGTTTCAAGACTTCCAAAATGGGCACAAGCCAAAGTGAGCAGCTCCAATATTGTCTGCCAGAATACAAACAACACTTTATTAGAGGTATATGTATTTTAGATTCTTTCTGGTCCCCTTTTTAGAATTTCCAGCATGTTTCTATCTTGGTTTTTGCCCCTAATGTTCAGTATAAGGCCAGTGAAAGAATTTTTCTTTGACGGGGATGGGAGAGAGGATGCAAGAAGGCCTGATACTTTCATCAATAATAAAATATAACCACAGTGAAAAGTTAAATCTTGAAAGTTAAAAAAAAAAAGGGAAAACATAATCTTTGGTCCCTATAATTTCATCCGGTTTTGCTTTTAGTCCTTATAATTTTTTTTTCAGTGTTAGAAATGAAGACGCTGAAAAAATGGAAACCATAAGGACCTGGAAAACAAAGGTTACCCAATCTTTTTAAAACTATAGGGATTGAGAACAACAACAACAACAACAAGCCTTTATCCCACTAGGTGGGGTCGGCTACATGGATTGCAAGACGCCATTGTGCTCTATCATTTATTAAGCTTTTAGAAATATTATTAATTAAGAGATCACGTTCAGCAACTTCCAAGAGTGTTCTCTTAGGTCTTCCTCTACCTCTCTTAATAGGGATTGAGAACACTGGAAAAAAAATTATAAGGACTAAAAACAAAACCCGATGAAGCTATAGGGACTGATAATTGTGTTTTCCAAAAAAAAAAAGAAAAGAAAATAGAACAGACAAAACTACGTCAAGAAAGTGGAAATACATAAAGTTAATATCCAATGTTGCAGTATGGATTGTGTTGAATTCTGGGGAATTGCAAATTCCTTGTATTTAAAATTATTCATATGTGTAATCCTAATATTTATGAAATTGTAAGTGTGCATGTGCTGTGTGTGGAATTCCCAAAAATGAGGGAGGATGTAATTTTCAAATTCCTCTAATGGCTAGTTCTTTGGAATTTACTTGATTAAATTATCTATGCAATTGAAAATTGATCCCATCCTAATCTAAATAAGGAATTTTCTAATGACATAATCTAAATACTTGCAAAAACACTTTCTCAAGAGAATCCTAAAAAATTAATACTCAAATGCTTATGGTTTCAAAATTTGGTTAAAGAGCTCTACTTTCTAATGGCTGTTTCATTGGTGATGACCAGGCCTATTCCTTATCCCCAGAAGTTACTGTACCGGTTGATCATGCTTCCTCATCACCTGGGTGTACAAAATCTCGATGTCTTTCAAGGCCAGAAGGAACTTTCAGGTAAGCATTGAGTCTCGGTCATTAACCTCTGATGGCATGAGTACTTTGCTCATGGATTCACTATAATTTCAGCAACTTTGCTTTGGACGACCGTTGGCTCTCTGTTTATACTGTTTGCATGGATGCTTTGTCCTCTCCAGAGATGCAAAGTTTAATGGATACAAAGATATCAAAGTTTTCCTCAAGTAAGGCCAAACCTTTATGGTTACATTGTTTTTCTCCCTATCTTCATCCATGTTGATCAGAGGAAAGAAGTCCGGCTTTGTTAATCAACATGTTATTGATGACAAAATATTGTGTTTCTAACACAAATCTTAATACTATAATCACTTGTGCGCGGACATAATTATGCACCTAGTGGAAATGGCATTGCATGCAAAGTGTTAAATGAATTACTTGTTTGATTTTGGTAAATACTTCTGCTGGGAAGTTAGGAAGAATTTATTTAATATTTTATTTTGTTTCCTATTAGGCGATCTTAGATTGTTTCCTCTTTTATGCTTTCTTTTAGCTCAAGTTTAAGTTAGGTTTCCTTTTACTTTTTTTAGAGTTTATTTTATATGAAGTTTAAGTTGTTATTATTATTGTATTTAGGGCTCCATAAGTAGCCATTGATTATTTCCATTTTTAGACTTTTTGCTGAATTATTATTGAGACTAAATATTTGCCTTTAGCTCTCCCCCTATCTCTATTTCTGCCACCTATCTTCTTCCCCCTTCCCCTTTCCCTCACTTGTTCTCCATCAACGCCCGCATTAAATGATTTATGAAAATTTCGGGTTGAAGCAATTAACTATTTGTAGAAAGGACGTCAATTTTCCTGTAATGATGCTGTTGATATGTGGTGCTAATCAATCTTTATTGTCACATGCATGATCTGTCACATTTTCTTCATATTTATGTTTTTAGCATGGGTGGCAGGCTCAATAAATTCCTGATTTTGGAAGCATGCTAAACTCTGAGGCTAAAGCAAACAAGTGTGAACTTATCTAACTTACAACCTTATAAAAGCGATGCTTGTGTTACAAATATGGCTCGTTGCAGGACAAGAAGGGGCTGAGATTATAAGGGACCAAAGTTCTTTTGGGCATGGTAGCCATATTAAACGAGAAAAACAGAATCTTTTCTCAGACCAACTTGCAGGTTCCGACGGTAATAATGGATCATGTTGTGAATGTCCTGAACAAATTTCTGGCAGCACAGCAGAGCAGTTACATACAGATGGATATGAAAGTGATTCAGAAGCAACTAATGAGTCCGACTTACACAATATGCATCCTGAAGAAGAAAGTGAACTATTTAAGCAACATTTTGGCAGTTTATCAAATACACAAAAGGTTAGTCCTTTTGCATGTCATGTTGCAATATGTATTAATAGTCTAATTCCTGGAAGGCCGAAAGGCTAAGGATGGAATTTAAACATGACCTAGAAAAGTCATCTTACTTCAATTTAATCTCATAAATCGCAAGCTACCTACTATAAAATTCAGAATGAAATGTAATAATTGTGAATAGACTTGTTTATATTGTCAATATCAGATGAAAGTTTGTCTTCAACTTCTGAAATGCGCCACTAGAAATCTCCATAGATAATGGTTCATTGTGCAGCTATGTTCTTTTTGATTTCGTTTTTTTTTTTCTAAGGATCCAAAACCTCAATTTTTAATAAAATGGTTCATTATCAATTTCCTGATTTGAGTATTGAAGCACTAAAATTTATGATGCTAAGAATGGACGTAAGGTTTATAAATAGATGCGGTTGAATTGCTCCAAAATCTCTAGGGAAGCATGACATCCTCTTGTTGATTAAGGCTACTACCTGAAATTTTGTTTTATAGTTTCTTCTTCAATGTGTTGTCTGTTTATGGCTTTACGCAGATGGAGGCACGAAAATCATTATTGCATAGGTACTCTGCAAGATTCGTTGTGCAGCATCGTTACCCTGGGGGCTGCAAGGGACTATTTAGCACTCCAGTCAGAAATATCACTGATGAAACCAGTAACTATGAGGGAGACACCACAGCTCATACTATGTTGGAAAAAGCATCCTCTCAGATGATGGGAAATGAACAAGTAAAAATTTCTTTGGAACAGGTAAATCAAGCGGCATAAGACATATTCATCTATGCCTTACTTTTACCTATCAAATATGATGAAAACAACTTCATAAAATATTTGGACTGGAAGTGAACATAAAGTTAATTTATTATCTAATTACTACTCGCATGATCATGCAGTTCATCAAGCTTTTTCGTTAGTGAATTTCCTTAGTGTCATTTATGATACAGATAATCTGTTTCCTTTATATTCCTCAGAAATTTCATTAAGATATAGTAACAATTTACTTTGCTTACATGTTTACTGTTTCAATAGGACCTCAAGAATTTGGCACAACGCTCCGAAAATTCAGCATGTGCATTGACTCAACGCCCGGTCAAAGAAAATTCGATTGACAATGATCTGAGCGAGGACACAGATAGAAAAGAAAGTCTTCCTAAAGAGAATAGACCAAAGGAAACCATAATTGCATGCAAGGATGCATTGAATAGATTGGATTCTGCAGCTGAGATTGCTGTGCAGTTATTTTCAAGATTAGAAATCAGTAGTTGTGGAGGAGAGACTTCAGAAGAAGCTGGAGCTCAGTTATATAATGAAGCAGCTGAGCTTCTTCCATCAATTATTGAGAAAGTTAATGCAGTTGCGAGGTTGGTTAGAAGTACGAAGAATGATTTGTTTGATTCAATATCGCATCGATTGTAAGGGAAATTTTTCTCAAGGCAGATCAGTCAGGATAGCCGAAATGCCAAAGACACTAGCATTCTGTTTTTTCTAGGTCAGAATAAAAAGCATTCTTTAATTCTATTTCATTCATATTCTTTCTGATGAGAAATGGAAGTTTCTGATTGCTTAACAATACATGCTAACGCTAAATTAGTGATAACTACCTTAATGTAAAGAATCCTAGAGAATTGCCTTGTTCTTTATATTTTCAGATCAGTAAGAAAGAAGGGATGACAAATGAAGAACTAAGATGAGTTTTCTTTTTGTCCAGGTTTATGTTCAATTGGCTCAGTCGAACTCCTTTTGTTTACTTTGTTTGAAGTACCGAAAAAGAACCAAAAGAAATAAAGTGCTAATGGGCATAGTCTACCTAATGAGCAATAACATGACCCAAAAGTAAAGCAAATTAGCAGCACTGAGGGCAGTAAAGGATGGCAAAGGCGTTTGCTACATGAGGAAAGCTCTTCCCATTTCTATCACTTTAGCATTGATTTCTTTACTCTTAAAGTTGAAATATATTATGAAAAATTAGGGGGAGAGAGAAAGATAAAAAGAAAGAGATAAAATCAACTAGAGTTGAATTTAGTAAAAGGGTAAAGTTTTTGTAGGAGGGAAGGAAAGTTAGAGAGATACAAATTTATGAGACCATAATTCATTGGTAATCTATAAATATTTTTTTTTTGTAAATGCTCTTTAAATCTTGAGACATGAGACATGTTATAATCTTGATAAAATTTTAGTTCTTAAACTCTACTTAATTTTTATTTTAAAAAATACGAGCTTAATTTGAGCCCAACTCTCTAGTTTACAATTGGCTACATACTAAAGATTATATTCGATTGATATAAAAAAATTATATTGCCCAAAAAAAATGATATAAAAAAATTATATTTGATTATATGGATATGTTTAGAATCCATTTGATATATAGTACATTATTAAAATAAAATAAAAAATAATTTTGATTATTTTCTTGTTAGTATTTTTTAAAAAAACTATTGAATAATAATTATATTATAGCAAATACTTTATCCCCTTTTTTGTCCTATTTAAATTTATTATAAAGAAAATATATTTTAAAATATTTATTATATTAAGAGGAAAAAAATTAAAAGTTTCTTAAATTTTTAGGTGAAGTTAATGAGTTTTAAAATTTTTTTGATTTCAATAAAATATATTAAAAGTAACTTATAAATAAGACCAGAGTAATATAAATCAAGAAAAAGGAATTCTTCTCAAAAGGAGTTTTAGCTTAACTCTATTAGGGACTGTTTGGATACCCCATTGAAATCAATTCTAAGACCAATATCATAATTTTGTGAAAATTTATCCAAACATTTTTAATTTTGTAAAACTTCATTTGGCTTGTGAAATTTCATTTTAGAAAAGTTTTTTTTTTCTCCATTTGATAATCAATTCTCAGCATTTGAGCATTTTTAGTTTCCCTCATTTTATAATTCATTTTAAAAAATTATTCAAATATTTTCAATTATCAAAATCAATTTCAGAAAATATTATCCAAATATCATCACATTTTGTCAATCAATTTTGCCAATGGCCAATCCTTTCTAACTTTCATAGATAAATTTAATTGCTTTCGCCACTTTAGTATTCAAAAGATAAAAGTCTTGGAAAAGAAAATTTCATCTTTGCTTCCTTCAATCTTTTCGACACAAGAAACCAATTTTACTGATGATTTTCATGCACTTTGACTACTAACATTGTAATGTAGGTTCCATTTACTTCGTTTCTTTTAAATATCATTTTTGATTAAAAAAAGTTTTTACTTATTTGTTATTTTAAAAATATAGAAAAATATTAATTAGTGCTTTTCAATCATCCTCTTATCTTCACTAACTAAATTTTTTTTACTCACTTATCATAAAATAAGTAATTAATAAATTAATTACATATTAAAAAATATAAAAGAAATCTGACATATAAATTATATTTATTAATTTGCATACTAAAATTTTAAACCACAAGTAAAGCAGAATGGAGGGGGGCAGCTACCCATATCCTTTTCCTATTCTCTTTTGGCATCTTTTTTGGTTTTTCAATGTTTGCCGTCAAATTATCTTTCTCTTACGCAAAGTAATAACTACACTAATTGTCTATTAAGAATTGGACCCACTCGCCATGAGCTTAAAGTGTTAAGCATTCATTGATCACATTAGCATATAGCTTTAATCTCCTCCTCTAATTTTAAATATTTCTACAATAAGGTACATAGATTAAGAAACCTATCATATAGCTTTCAATGTAGTAAAATTTAATAGTAATTAACCAAATAATTATTTTATTTTAATTCATAGCCAAACAAGTACTTCACTTATCATTATTTTTATCAATGAAAGGCAAAATAAGTTTATGTCTAATATTTCATTTATAGTATAGAAACAATTAATATTTCATTGAAATTAAAGTGAATTTTGAAACAAAACAAAAACTTTAGAATGACAAATAAAATCTTAGGGAGTGTCTTGATTAATATGTATATGTATAATATATAAAAAGGTTAATGTACATTTTTATCTTTGACTTTTTTTTGAAGAATGTTGAGCATCTTTTACTTATAAGTAAGGCAATTTTACTCTTGAATTATTTTTTCAAAGAGCAAAAAACTCCTTCCGTCAAACGATTATTAACTTTGTCGTTTTTTGTTGACGTGGCATGTGTGTGGAGTCCACGCATAGTGATAGGTAAAACTCTGATTATATTCTTTACTCTTAATTTGTCCCTAAACTCTTTTTCTAGAAGCATTTGGTACTTTAAAGTATTTTTCTATCAATGCTAGGTACCTTAAAGTATTTTAAAATAAAATTTAATAAATATTATTAAAATATTAACTATTTCAATATTTAATTAATTTAAATATTATTATTTATAAATATTCATTCTAAATTTATAAATTATTTTTTAACTATTAAAAGCTCAAACTATTTTTTTTAAAATTTATAAATGACTTGTAATATTTTATATATCAATTATATTTTTAATATTGATTAAGTTCTTTAAATTTTTTAGGTAATTCTATATAATTTTTTTAATCAACTAATAATTTTCCTCTAAAATATTACAAAACTCAATTCAATATTTTAATATTTTTTATATTTTATAATTTTGTATTAAAAACGAAGGGAATGAACCTCCAAATTAACAGAGGAATTTTTTCCTCTCATCTCTTCATTATTCTCTTGTTAAATAATTTTTTTGTAGCATGTTAATAGACATGTAATATCTTTCAAATAAGCATTTTTGTTAACATATTGTTGGTTCTGATTTGTCATGTTTTTTATTTTACTCTTAACACTATAGTATACACAGAGTATTAAATTTAGGTGATACAATATTTTGGAAGAAAATCATAATGGACAAAAAAATTATAGAAAACAACATGCAAATATAAGGAACTTAACTACTTAAAAAGATGGTAAGTTTCAATCTATACAAAAGGTGTAACGATTTGGGCACTATTTTGAAGAGAGACTTGGAGATTAATATATAAAAAATAACAACTCATCTATAAACTTATGAAAAAATTAATTTGAGTTGTTAATATTTATAAAATAATTTAGAAATTTTGAAGAATATTTATAAATAATAATATTTAAATTGTTAAATATTAAAATATTTAATATTTTGGTAATATTTATTAAATTTTATTCCAACAACATTTCAAAGTGTCCAGCGCTTCTAAAAAAATAGTTTATAGGAAAATTAGCATTAAATGATATGGTTAAAGTCTTGCCTATTACCATGTTTGGGCTCCACACACATGCCACAACAGCAAAAAATAAAAATATTAACAACTAACTAATAGAGGGAATTTTTTGCTGATGGACAAATAGTTTAGGAAAAAAATTTCCCCACTTATCGATACAAGGTGTTTAGCACTCCTTGGAAAAAAAAAGTTTAAAAGTAAAATTAATCCTTCGAAAATTTACACCTTTTTCTCACTTAAATTACAAGAATGGATAATTTGGAATGCAAAAAATAGAGTAGGAAGCTTAAATACAAGAAGAATAGCTTGGCAAAGACTTTTCGACCAAGTTTGCTAGAACATTTGGAAAACAAATGCAAGAAACTCTACTCTGAAGATGAAGTCTTGGATAGCAACATTGCATTCTGCAGCACTCAGCAAATCAGCAATGACCTCAAGCTTCTTTCAAAATACAATCAACTGTACAAAGGAGACACTACTTATGACATCAAATGGAGTCCACCTGAACCAAGATGGATAAGACTAGACACAAACGGCTCTGTTAACAACAATGACACCACTGCTTGTGGAGGCATCATTAGAGACAATAAAGAAAATTAGACAAAAGGATGAAATTTCTTGGCTATCACCCTAACACAACGGCAGAATTAATGAAAATTTTTAAAAGACTTAACCTCTGCTAGAATGAGAAATTTTTCCAAGTTAATGTTTGCTCAGATTCGATAAAGGCTTTGTCTCTTATTAGTAATAGCACTCTGGGAGTCACTTTTTATCCGACATTATCAAAAATATTAGATATCTCATTATGAGAAATTGAATAGTCATCTTTGGCCATGTTTATAGAGAAGAAAACAAATGTGCTTATCTATTAGCTCACCAAGCAATATGTACCAACTTTAATATAAAGATTTTTGATGTACCCCCACAAGATTGTAGAAGCCTCTTGACCTTAGATATAATTAGATTTTAATCTTCTTGCACAGTTTTTTGTGGCCTCGTAATTAAAAAAAAAGCACCTTAACCTATATAAAAAGTTAGAACAAGTGTGCCCTATGTGTAAATCATAAATAATGTGAGAATACTGTTTTTTTTTTTTTTTGCCAGAAAAGAAGATGTGAGAATGTGAGAATACTCTATAACACTTGAGAAAATGCAATGATAATATTGTTATGATTATTTATATACACATAAATTAAAAAAGGTATATATAACGTAACTCGTTAGGTGTAGGACATGATGCCCTGATAGACGGGCTTAATGCACGAGTAGCCTAATTGCTCATGAGATTAATGTGTAATCATAATGTCTAATTTAGGCACTGCCTTATGTTATGGGCCCTTTGAAGTGAAGGAAATTAATTGTTGTTTATCTATTAGATTATAAGCTGCCGAAAGAATTATCCTTCACTTGCAGAATGAATAACTGAAATATAGCTTGTAAAGAGGTAGGTATATAACGTAACTCGTGGTTTGAGGTGTAGGACATGATGCCCTGATAGACGGGCTTAATGCACGAGTAGCCTAATTGCTCATGAGATTAATGTGTAATCATTAATGTCTAATTTAGGCACTGCCTTATGTTATGGGCCCTTTGAAGTGAAGGAAATTAATTGTTGTTTATCTATTTAGATTATAAGCTGCCGAAAGAATTATCCTTCACTTGCAGATGATGAATAATATGAAATATAGCTTGTAAAGACAAATTTATAATGAATAGGAGTTGGGTCTAACAAAAGAGGCTAATACTTAAAACGTGTGAACCAATAATATTTAAATTTTTACTATGAGATATGCCTATATTTAATATTTAATTGTATCTCAATATAATTATTTCTAATAAGAAGACATGTAAACGTGATAAAAAAGGCAAGTATTATGTAGACAACACTTTAGATAAAAGTATAAAACTAATAAATTCTTTTAAGACAAGCATATGAAGTTGATAT